GAAATCAGTGAGACCTGGGGAAGGAACTTGTGGCCAAAGAAAGGATGGTTTCATACAGAGCAGATTAAAAAAAAAAAAAAAAAAAAAAAAAGCTCTAAGGCAGCAATCTGAGGCATGTATGTGTTATTTTCTTACTTTTAATCAGGCAACTATGTATAAACGATATAGTTCATGAAAATGCAATAAGTACATTTGTCAAATTATGTATTTGTAATCCTTGCAAATTATGTGAATCTTGGCTACGTTTAGCACCACCACTCATGACCTGCTGGATCAGGTTGATTTCCACAACAGAACTAGCAGCTGCAGTTATTTGGACCATCAGACACTAAATAATAAGTTAAACGACTCGCTTCCTACATACAGACTGCATTTTATTGCCCCCTGTCCACAAGGAAAATGGGTTCTAAAAAAAAGGCACTTACTTGTGTTCTAAGCTCTGCTTTCCCACAACTAACAAATGAGAAGTTTCTACACTGAAAGCTTGACCACTGAATTCAGGGAAAGGCAACAATATCCTGCTTGGCACAAGTCTTTAGGGAACTTCTGAGAGTGGATCAGAAAAGTAGATAACATACATGCCTCACTCTGAGTGCAGGAGGCTGTCCTACAGACCTGCAAACATAAAGTAGGGTGCATTTTTACATGCCTTTTTGAATGATGAGCTCAATAACTTCCCTTTCTGGAGTCTGCATGTTTTTTTCACAGCCCTGAGCTGTTTTCCAGCAGTCATGTTTCCTCCATAAAAAGGTGAAAGAGCTCCTTGAATTTCTCCTTGTGCTTCGCACTCCTCTTTCCACAGTGCTGTTGGTTGTGTCCCAGCATTGGTGAGAGGACACCATGGGTAAGGCCAAATCCACCCCACAAGACACAGAAATTCCTCCAGCAGGGAGAGCCCCTCTGAGCACATCTATCTGGGAATGTTCAGCCTTCTGTCTGCATCCAGCTAAGATCTTTGTGTAGACTTCTATAATTTTATTTCTCATTAATTGTATGATAGCTTTCATAACATTTTGTATCAGAAACGTTTCACTACAATTTCTAGAGAAATACATACAGACATTCAGATAGAAAAAAAATATGTTTTCTTCAGCATACCCAAAGTTTTATAAAGCCAGACCAGAGGAGTCGTTTCCAATTTTAAGCCTGGTTACCAGAGAGAGGGAAGTCATTACCTTGTAAATTATTTATTATTCTGTGGCTCCAAAAATAACTACCCAAGAATCCAAAATAAGAATGTAGAAATATCTACACGTCTAGTCATTACTAGGCTCATGCACATGACAACGTTGTTTCATATAAATGCTATGTATAATTTTATTAGAAAGAAATATTATTTTGATGTTAAGACATCAAGTTATAAGCAGAAGGATAATAAAGAGTTTGTTATTTTATTAATATTGGAAATATATTTAATGGAAACATTTGCAAGAGTGTGTAGTGATGGAAAAATACTGGTTGTTAATAGGTTTAACAAAGTCATAAAGCTTGGAAAATGTTCTTTTCAGCACTGTGCCAGGTACATACAGGATTAGTCTTTCTTGCAAAGCTGAAATACTGACACATAGAAATTGCTATATGGTCAGGGTAAACCAGGAAAAGGGTAGGAAAAGTGATTGTAAATGGAATTACAATAATCCCTGGAGTTATTGTTGGCATCACAGCTTGAGGAGCGTTCTTCCGAGAAGTATTTCAGAGTTAATATGTTAAGCCCCAGAGAAGCAATGGAAGATGAGGTGGGGTCCAAGAATTTGTTAATTTCACGTTAAAATCCATATGTTTGTTCCTATTACACATTCCAATAACCATACAGGCCATTTTATTTATATATGAAATACTAAAATATGTATAAAATGATTGTGATTTTATGATGTATTCTCAACAACAAAGATATTTTTTCTTATGCTGTTGGTAGTTGCTTTTGTTACACATCCTTTCGCTTGCGTACGAAAACACGGTGTGTTGGTTTTTTTGTTTGTGTTTTGTTTTTTGCCCTGGGAAGTGGTTGAGTCACCATCCTTGGAGGTCTTTAAAAGATGTTCAGATGTAGAGCTTAGTGATACGGGTTAGTGGAGGACTGGTTAGTGTTAGGTCAGAAGTTGGACTCAGTGATCTCGGAGGTCTCTTCCAACCTAGACGATTCTGTGATGCTGTGAGGAAACAAGTGGGAGGAATTAAGCTGCAGTTGAGGATTTGTTTTGGAGCTGGCCCATAGAGCCAGGCACGAGCAGGGCTGAGGGGGCATGAGGTGCCACAGGACACGGTGGGTTTGTGTGTGTGGAAACGGGGAAAAAGCGGGATAAACGTGAAGGCTTTGAACCCCCAGAGCCCCATCTCGGCCCTGTGATGGAAACAGGCACCGCCAGGTGGAGCATGGCGCCCGCCAGCTCCTCTTCCCCCCTCCTCAGAGCCCACCCCCTGGGCTGGGCGCTGCCTCAGAGGCGGAGACTGAAAATGGCGGCGGGTGCTCGGAACTACAACTCCCGCCATGCCCCATAGAGCCCCCCCACCCCTATAGGGACGCCATTACCCCTACAGGCGCGCAGCGTTCATCTCGTCAGAGGGCCGCGACGGGTCGGGCGGGCAGGCGGGCGGGATGCGGCTGTCGCTGGCGGCCGCCATCTCCCACGGGCGCCTGTACCGGCGCTTGGGGCCGAGCCCGCGGGCTCGCCTCGACCTCCTGCGCAACCTGGTGACGGCGCTGGTGCGGCACGAGCGGCTCGAGGCGCCCTGGGCGCGAGCCGACGAGATGCGGGGCTACGCCGAGAGGGTGAGGGGACGGGACGGGGATGGGGGGTGAGGGGGGCACACACCGGGCGTTATCAGGCGATAACGGGTGCTGTTTCCCCTCAGCTCATCGACTACGCCAAGCGGGGGGACACTGACGAGCGAGCTATGCGCATGGCGAATTTCTGGCTGACGGTAGGCACCCCCCTTCATCCCCTTCCCCTCCCTCCATCCCCTTCCCCTCCCTCCATCCCCTTCCCCTCCCTCCATCCCCTTCCCCTCCCTCCATCCCCTTCCCTTCCCTTCATCCCCTTCCCCTCCTCGTGCCCCTCATCCCCTTCGTGCCCTCCCCGCTCCCTTTTTGTGTCCCCCTCCCGCTCCCTTTTGTCCCCCTCTCAGTCCCAGAGCTGACCGTGCCGCCCCGCAGGAGAAGGACCTGATCCACAAGCTGTTCAAGGTGCTGGCGCCCCGCTTCCAGCCTCACCCCGGCAGCTACACCCGCCTGCTGCAAATCCCCAACCGCGACAGCACGGACCGCGCCAAGATGGCAGTCATCGAGCTGAAGGGGAACCCCTACCCGCCGCTCGTCCGCCCGCGCCGCGACAGCGACAAGACACTGCTCAACCAGCTGCTGAAGGGCTACAGGGAGGACAGCCGGAGGCAGGCAGCCCCCCAGCTGCCCGAGGGCACGCCGCTGTAGGCAGCACGCTGTGCCCTGAGTGGCACCCCCTACACACACACACACACTGGAGCAGAAGATGTCCCAAGAGGTTGCAGGGGTTATTCCGAGCCTTAAATTGTCACAACAGCAGCACAAGCTGGAGGTTTACTTGCCCCTTCCTGTGCTTTCATACTCAGCAAGGGAAGGAAATCAAGCTGGGAGCCCTAATGGTTGATACTTGCTGTGTAAATAAACTGTTTAGAAAGTGACTTTGCTTCTGTTTGAATTATATTGCTCTGTACATGCGTTAATCTTCCCCCAAAACTGAGTTTATTACATCTTCTGTTCCTACACACTGGGATAGTGTCTCCGCTGTGATAGAACTGAAGTGTCCTCTAGAAGCCAGTGTGCAGACCTTCAGGGCTGCAAATACAGTGGAAACGCAGCCTGGTTGTATTGTTGCTGCAGAGCTGAATACAAATTAGGATAGTACCACTGAAACAAGTTTTAAAAGCAGCAGCACCAATTAGACTTGTGTTGTTAGGTTGGCAACATGGACAGAAATAAATTGTCACTTTTGAGCTTAGTAAGACACCTTAGCCCTCAGGTACAGAGTTGTAAGAAATCTCTGTATTGTGCTCTTAGAGCAAAAAATTGTTAGCAGCAGAACTTCTCAAGAGAATGATGCAAAAGCAGATATGAAACTTAAAGTGCTGGCTTTGTCTGATTTGTTCTTGACAGTTGTAGCTGGAGCTTATGAGTGAAAAAGAAAAAAAAAACACCTTTCCAGAGACTGAACATGATAGGTCATCAACTGCAAGGAGTGCAATTTCTTATTTCTAATGACTTTGATATTGCACTCCTTGTAGTTGATGACCTAAAGTCTTGTTCAAACAGGTACTTTATCCTTAACGGACACTATGAACCAAGTGCTGTTGCTGCATAGCTTCCACATTATTAAAAGTCTGTGTTGAGGCTTCAGTATTTAATTCTCAAGAATGATAGCCTCATGCTGCTGTCAGGTGGCCTTTCCTGTTCATAAACAACTTGAGTACATTAGCTGTGATCTGATGCCCCAAAATGATGACCATAGCCCTTTGCAAATTTCCAGAGCGCATTAGGAGCAGAGGTGCTGCCTGGGCATTTCAATACAGTTTTGGTGTGATGAAGTTACTGCATACTTTGAAGGTAAAGGATAGTGTTTCACTTGTGTAGTCGCTTAGGATTCAGATTAGAAATGTGAACCCTGTTTGGCAAGCATCAGAGTATGTTACCTATTAATTCATTTCAGTTAATTCAGTAGAATAACTCTTTGTGTGGGATTGATGAGAAACAGAAGTAGGATTTTAAGAACTGAACTGTTTTCCCTTGATCTGCTCACTTGCCATTTTCTTAGAGAAAGAAGGGCAATAACTTACAAACTATTTTAGTTGAAAACTGAGGGCTATGAATGATTAAAATATGTCAGGGGAGGAAGATTGTGTGGCCCTGTAGCACTAGCAGAAATACTGTGTTATCCCTATGTTACCAAAAATCCAAAACACCCCCTCTGGTCAAAGGACTTATGAGCCTGAAGTAAGAGAAGGTAAATACACAAATGTGAAAATGCTGATTTAGAAAGATGGGTAGATAAAAAAACATTTAATAAAGGAAAGCACAGCAAGTTTTCTTCTAGTTGTCCTTAAGTTAACAATCAGGAGAAAAAGTATGGGAAATCTAGAAGCTTCTAAGCTAAATTGGGGGAAAGGCTTAATATAGATTCTTAATACACAAATTCTGAATGTATATACACATTTTTTTGCCATATCAGTAAGCTGACAAAGCATAATTTCACAGGCTTGGTGTGTAGTCGCTCTAAATGCAACTCTACTACTATTATGTCCTTGAACACATCCTAAAATTATGTAGCTTTCTATCAAGACGGATGGTTGTCCTGCCAGTTTGTTCTCAGATGGGTCAGGCTTTCAGACGCCTGTTGAGAAAAATGAAGGGAAAGTACACTGTTAATATATGAAGGCCGTTATTATTCCCTTGCATCCTGGCTGTCAGCCAGGTCTTCTCTATCAGCCTTATAAACTCAGAACTGATTAGAATACCCATGTCCATATGATTGTCCATATGACTGCTCTACCCCCTCCTTCCTCTCCACCTCTGGAGGATAAAGGCCTACCTGACTGCAGCTTTGAGACTCTGATACCAGTCATTAACATCTTGCTGGTCACTGGACATCAACAACAGCGTCTTGTGTGGGAAGGAAAGCTGAAAGACAAACAGAATGTACTTGTTCCTGGATGCTGATTTCTGCCGTTTTTTGCCAATAGTTAGGGAAGTTTAGCATTGATAATGGGGGAAGCCAGTGTCCAGACAGTACAGAGCAAGTGCCAGACTTCCAGCTACAAATGTCAGCTTGGTTTGACTTGACAAGGTAGTTTGGAAGTCGGCAATGCCAGTCTGCGTATGCTGTCCATCCGGTTTTCTGCCTTATTCCGAGCTGCCTCTAGAGGTCCTTCCACTACCACCAATGCAAATTCACACCTTAACCAAGAGTTCCTTTTCATGGCTTGCAAGGGGTGAGCCAATAGCCCCCCACGTGCTGCAACCTGGGAAGACCTGAACTTAAAACACCCACCTATGGCATTAGTCCCAGTCAGAGACCCTGCAGTCCCCAGGGAGTTAGATGCATGAGCAATGTCCGTTGTGATAATACCATCTCTCTGCTTTCTCTGTTCTTCAGTTTTCTCTCACATTCCACGATCACTAATGCTGTGTATTGCCCATCATGTGGCTGTAGGGCTATTCCCAAAACATGTTATTGGATGAGGGCATGTCAGAGTCTGATCAGACCCTCCTCATGGGACCTATGTGGAACAAGCAGCAGCCTGTACACGGTGCTCAGGAGGGCACACACCAAAGGGAAAAAAGACAGCCTACATCACCCAAAAAGGATGAGCTTTTTGCATTTACCATTGTCACCACTTGTCGTCTCAGTCCTGCTGCTGCTGAGACAGCTAGAGACTTGCTTTGCAAGCCTGACCCCCTGATGCTGCTGCCAAGAATACTTACACTGAGGAGCCCTCCCTGGCTCTGTGTGTGGCCAAACACTTTATCCACCTCACACTGGTGAAGTGGGTAGACAGCCGTGCATGCAAATTTGTTCGAGTTTAGCAGGTGAAGTGGGTGGCAGGGTTTTGTTGCAACGAAGATATCAGAAAAAAGGAAGAACATCCTGCGCTTCAGTTCTTTTCCCTTGGAAGGCACCACCAAAAGCCAGCCTTCTCGGATATACCAGCGCCCTAAGCATGGAAGGAAAATAAAGACAGTTGCCAGACAATCCTTGGCACAAGAAAAAGGATGTAAAACTACAAAAAAGAATACAATGAAGTACCCTGAGGCTACCAGGCTCTATATCCATTCCAGCCACCAGAAGGAGCTGAGCGTCAGCTGGAACCTGCTCATCAGCAACCATGACAAGCAGTGATCACCCAAAACTTTTAATATATGAGGAACAGACTCGAGTTCTTATAAAGCTAGTATGTCAATTAAGAGGATACTACTATATGCAGATCTGTTCAAAGAGGAAAAAAAACAAACTCATGTTTTCAAAATGGTATGCATACCTTTAAATTAGCATAAAATGTCGGAAAGCATACCGTAAACAGCCTTAAATTGTGTCACCCAATTGTTTGTCATTAACAGCAAAACAGAATTTAACCTAAACTTTGAACATTTATTATTTTCCCCAGTTTTGTTTGCTTGTGCATGCTAATTAAGATAAAATCATTCCAAAGATCATCTAACTATATACAGTTCTGTAGTAAACAAATAACAGAATGGAGATCACTGTAATGATAGACGCAAAGCAGACAAAATAAGGTATTAAATAAAAGGCTTGAATGGACAACTTTATTAACCTTCTCTTGTAGAATAGGGTTCAGTGTCACCTACCCATGAAATGACCTGCAATTAAATTAATTAAAAGGTAGAAAAATCAGCAGGAAAATGATAATAAAAAAAATGAAAAACCTAGATGTAGGCAGTAATAAAAGCAAAGGGCACCTACACAAAATTGAGTAATTAAAGCAATGCCTCTAACCCCAAGGATTATTGTACAAGGTGGCCATCAACTCATGGGAGTTATGAAGACACCTGCTAGTAACAAAATAATTTATAAAAATTTCAAAGCCAGAATATGGTATCTCCTGGTCTGGGAAACACTTCCCAGAAAACCTCAGCCATTTTTTTGTGCCACAGCATCTAGCTGAGCTAGTAAGTACATTTCACAGAGCAGCACAATATAAGTATGGATTGTCGTATCTGAATATGCTACAGCTACAAAATACAGAGGCAAGTGAATTGCTGCTTAGCTTACTCCACAGTAACTATGCCTCTTATCTGAATAAGAAACTGAGGGAGTGGAAAGTGAGCTGAAGGGATCAGTTCAAATTTAAAAAACAAATGAAAGGAAGGGGGCAGCAGTGTGGGACTGGAAACTGTTTCCCTCAGACTAAGTAAACTGTGATCAAATTAGCATACAGATTGAGCAGAACTGTCCTGGAAGTCTTGTGATATGGATCCACTTTCAGGACACGTAATTTAGAAAATTCTTGAGAAAGAAGGGCAGGGAAGCTAGAGATGGCAGAACAGTGTGCTATGTTAAAAGGTGATTCTAGTTAAAATAGTTTTCACCCTACATACGGAAGGCAGCAAGAAGAGCAGGGTCTCCTTACATTGGGAGCAGCAGACCTCAGTGATACCTGACTCCCAAACTCCAAACCCCTTTTCCCTGCATTTTGTCTTTTCATGTCTTCCATCCTAGTAATAGGATGCAATCTTCAAAGTTCTGCAAAAGTTAGTTTGTTCCTGCAAAAGTGAAGTTGTTGAGCTGGCTCAAAACTAGCAACACCCAGTTGCCTGACACCCTCCCTTTCCCTCCCCCCTTCCCAAACACACCCATTTTACTCCAGCTAATGGAAAACATAATCACAATTCTCTGTCTTAGAATCACAATTCTCTGTACTAGTATTAGTCCTAGTACATCTCTCAGAATATATGGAGACAAAAAAAGTAGATCTTAATCTTTCTAACAATGTCCCTCTCTGGTTTAACTATACTGGTTTATACATTTGTTTTTCCCTTGGGCTGATCTTATTAATTCTGTTACTCAAGGTAACTGAGTTATGTTTTTACTTATACACTGTCCTAATGTGTCCAGGCACCCCGACACACGCACAGTGCTTAGTATAAGCAGAGCACATCTGTGTTAGCTCTCTTTCAGCTAGCATCACCAAAAGGATTCTAAGCAGAACAGGAAACAGAATTGTAAATCAATCTGTGCATTGACTTAGCATCTTGAAGAATAATAATCCATGATAAATAGGCTTTTTTTCTACTTTCATCCCCAAATCCACCTGTAGAAAGTAAAAAGTACAACCGAATTCACAGATACCTGGAGGCACATCTTAGAAACCTTTACACGCCATGACTTCAGTGCTCCAAGTGCCGCATTGTTTCTAGATGACCTTTGCAACAGCAGCATTTATTGAGGGTGTGCAGGCATGGGTGAAGCCTGAAGTGGCCATTTCATAATTGTTCAGACCAGTCATATTTCTCATAATGTTCCATATGTAGCTTGGAGCACCTACCACCAGTCCAGGTTACCCAAAGCCCCATGCAGCCTGGCCTTGAGCATTGTCAGGGACGGGGCAGCCACAGCTTCTGTGGGCAGCCTGTTCCAGTGTCTCACTGCCCTCTGAGTAAAGAATTTCCTCCTAACATCTAATCTAGACCTACTCTCTTTTAATTTAAAGCCATCCCCCCTTGTTCTATCACACCAACCCCTGACAAGTAGTCCCTCCCCAGCTGCCCTGTAGCCCCCTTTAGGCACTGGCAGGCTGCTGTAAGGTCTCCCAAGAGCCTTCTCTCCTCCAGGCTGAACACCCCCAGCTCCCTCAGCCTGTCCCCACAGCAGATCCTGGCCTCTGGATCTGCTCTAACAGCTCCGTGTTCTTCTTGTGCTGGGGGCCCCAGAACTGGGTACAGGGTTCCAGGTGGGGTCTCATGAGAGCAGAGCAGAGGGGGACAATCCCCTCCCTGCCCTGCTGTGTTGGCACAGCCCAGGACATGGCTGGCTTGCTGGGCTGCAGGCACACATTGACAGCTTATGTCCAGCTTCTCATCAACCAACACCCCTGAGTCCTTTTCCTTGGATCTGCTCTCAATGCATTCTCTTTCCAGACCCAAGTGCAGGATCTTGCACTTGGCCTTGTTGAAGTCATGAGGCTGAGGATGCTCCGGGCATGAGGAGTGCCCAGTCACATGGGATATCCTAAAGAAACCTTGTTATCCAATTAGATGATCTTACATGCCAATGCCTGTGACTTTATATATCTCAACTATCAGCACAAATACTGATTTCTGCCACGGCTTAACCCTTTTGGTAAGAGATGTTTCTTTTCATGTATAAGGCGTGAGCAGAAGTCTAGGGAATTTGCAACTCAAAATTAAAACAAAAACAATATATCCCTCAGGAACTGAGATGAAGGTAAGCCTACCTCCAGATAAAGGCAAGCCTATCTCCAGTTAACTTAACTGAGCAGAAGAAAAGCAGAGATGTCTATAAGACCCACCTGCAGTCAACAGCTGGGTCTTCCGTCCTTTGAGGAGCTTCTGAACACGAAGTAGCTGCAGTGAATTCTCTCTCTTACGAACAATGTCCTGGACCCATTGAGATACCTCAGAAGCAGATTTCACAGTCTCTGAAACAACAGCAGGTTATCACAAATGGGCATGTACTACTGCTCATCCAACTTGCTGTGAAAAGATAGATTAAATGAGGAAGCAAATATTTTAAAACAAGTATCAGTTAACAAGTTTATTCAATAATTTCAGCAGGAGATTGCAATAGAGGACCAACCCACTAGGTTTCCCAGTCAGTCACTCTACATTTCTATTCCCTGTGTATTCTCAGGGGTACCTTCTGAGCAAGACTGTAAAGGAAAATAGTAATGCACTAGAAACCCAGATAAAGATTTTTCTTCCTGTAGAAACAGACAAAATATGCAAATTGAAATGCCAGCAAGGAAGCTAACACTGATCAAAATGCCAGCATTCACCAGAGAAATTAAAGCAGTAGCATTTACAGACAAAATCATACTTGTAAGTTTCTGGTACTCAGCACTGTCTGGGCTGGTGTTCTCCAGCAGGTCTCTCAGAAAATGCTTGTACCTAAGAGAGAAAGAGCAGTTTCATTTCACAAAGACACACCAGGAACAGCAGCATCCCCTGTTAGTGACAAAATGATGAATACTCCATCAGGAGATGGAGTACACACCTTTAAGTGGAACCAAGCAGTTTTTGTTAAGATTTCTTTGATCACATTCATTTTATGTTCAGATTTGTCAATTACATTATCCCACATATTTTATACATTTGCAAGCCTTTGGCGTTTCCTGGGGAGCTGGTAAGAACAATCTCACATATTACTTAAGTTCATGAGACTCTAGAAGTCTTTAACATTCACATAATGTCTTCAATAAAAAGACAAATTGAACTCTTTGAACTATTGTGTGTTTTTTTGTGTGTGAATAGAAGCATTCATACCATATGTTCTCTGCCCACACAAGAAAATAAAGGCATTTCAATAACTACCGGGAAACGCCTTTTTTCTTTTTTCCTCTCCAGTCTTTACCAGAAAGGATCAGATCTGTGCAAATGCTTTCTCCCAATAAAGCAAAACTATTTTCAGTCTGAAATGACAGAAGAAATACCACATGGAACAGATGTGTAAAATGGCAGAAGTCTTATGACCCGCAGCATGTGTAACAGAGTTCTGATGAAACTTCAATATGAAAGAGCTGATTAATGAAAAAATTAGACGTTCCGTTAAAAAGCCACCATTTTTCCAAACAGTTGGACAGCAACAAATATACTGCTGTTTTATGTATTCAAATGAATGATCCGAAGAATTACAGTAATAATGAGAGCTTACATTTGTATCTGCCAAGCTGATTAAAAACATTGTATAAAGCTATCTGAAAAACTGCACTATGCTCATCCCCAGTTATTTTCAAAGAAGCAAGGCTCTCAATCTCCTAATCGTGCTTTAGCACAAATAAGACCATGATTAGAGAGCAGTTACTTGACTTACAGCAGCAGCATCCAGGTTCCCAGCAAACTACCCAGGCTCTGTATCACCCTCATACCCTCCCCAAAAAAGGGTAGCCACTGAGTGCATGCAGCACTCTTCTCATGCAGTCAGCATGCCTCTTCAAAGGACACCACAAGCAGAATGCAGTAATCCAGACTGGATCTGTCCAGGCTCAGACAGCTGTGACAGGCACCAAATATGAGGAAAGCATGCAGTCAGACCCAATAACCATACATGGGGGGGGGAGTTCCCCTGACTTCATTAATCTTATCTCTCTCTAAAAGCAACCATCCACAAGAAGAGTCGCAATGCTCCACATCAGCAATGTGCACAAAAGCAAAGCAAGACCTTCTCTAGCTGAAAGCAGCACTTCCGCAGTGCTTTAGACAGCCTGCTTTTGTTTAGGTCCCAACTTCAGTCACGTATTGAGATGCCAGACAGCCTTCACTTGAATTCTACCTGACAACTAGTTGAAGATCTTAAGAGCTTAAGAGCCAGAGCTGAACACAGCTACCCCTCTGCATCATTTTCCATCCACATACACCAATTCCACTTCACAAGCACATCTTCAGGACGGTTTCACTGCAATCTATAAGCTCCAGCTTGGAGATATATGCTATTAACAAGATACTGTTATGTGCCTTTTTCCCTTCTCATGCTAACACCTTGAATTGCTTGCTTACTGTTGCAATCTCTGCAGAGGCAAAGGAAGCAAATCCTCTAGCTTCTTTCCTTGAAACTGAGGTCGAGTCTCTTGGAGCTTCTTAAAGCGTCGAAATGACTTATTTTTCCTCAGCTGCTCCTGTGTGCAGCAGAAAAGGCATATTGCTTTGAGAGTACAGAAATAAACATGCACTGACAAGAACCGCAAGTCAGGTGGTTTAAACTTCAGATACAGCTTTCAGGACTTTGAAATAAAGATCCATCTTTCTGAAATTTCTTGGGAGATAGACCATATGTGGAAAGGTAAGCGGGAAGGAAAACAATTTCATCTGAATTTCATCTGCTGTAGGAAAAAAAAAATGGGAATGAAAAAGGAAATCCCACCATTATGATACTCTTAGTGGTAGTGGGAAAGACTGGAAGACCTGGTAACTCTCCAGAAAGAGACCACTGTCCCATAGTGTTACCACTGCAAACTCTCCAGGCTTGCCAGTCAGGAAAGAGAGGGAGTTTAAACAGAACTCTCTGAGAAAGCTCTGCTTAGTGTGCGTGCACACACACTCACACACAAAACATGCTTCAAAAATTTGAAGCACTATATAGAGAGGTTCTCACTACTCTCTATTATGACCAAAAGACTGAGAGAACAGCAGCAGCCCAGAAAAAGGAAGACAACTGACCACTCCAGACACAGAATTAAGTAAAGGGAAGGATGTAGTTGTTTCAAAGAATTGAGAAACAGAAGAGAAATCAGGAAGAGTAAAGGAGATATTTACCTTCAAGGTTTTATTTGCCTGTTCCAAGTTCTCGGCATAGTGGCCATAAAGCTCCAATTTCTGACAGAAATTTTCTAACCCCAGTCCTAAATTTCCTCTCTCCAGGTGAAGCGACAGAACCCTGCGCACAAGGAGGAAAGATAGATAGGCAGGGGTACGTTATTGATACAATTTTCCCAGCTCCATTTGGTCCACTCCTATGCTGACCTTCATTTGTCAGTTTCTACCTTACACCTGGCTTCTGTTCAGAATATCTGCTTGGTGACCGGAGTGAGCTACAGAAAACAATACATAAAAATACCATACAGTAGTCTTACTGCACTTAAACCACTATGCAGAGAACAATGGGGTATCCAGATAAGTGGATGCAGATCAGCAGTTTCCTGTGTATTTCAGCAAGTGTCATCAAGGCTAGCAGTGTTAGAAGTGAATGCCTGTCTCACAAGATGTTAGCTTTATCCCCTGAAGTCTTACTTTGTCGTTCTCTCCATATCATTATGGGAGTAATTGCATCAGTCTGCTCACTTACTGGCTGGCCGAATATATGGATTCCAGGGGTCCAAATATGGTTTCCATTACAGCAGGTTTAAGCGTCCCTTTGGCCTTTAAAATTGTCACGAAGAACTAAGAAGGAAAGAGAGAGAATTTCAAACAGCTATGATTCACAGGTCACTCAAAGGTCATTCTTAGCACACAGCAGAAGCAAGAAGTTGCAGCCTAGACACTTGAGCTCCAAAAGATATCAGATATCATGGGCACCCACCTAAAATACCTATCACCAGATGTAAGCCATCTTGTTAACTTTGACTATAACTGTAAACACATGGAGCAGCACTACATTGTCTGAGTGAGTCTGTTTCGTTATTCCTAGATGCATCTGTTTTTAACAACCTGGTTCGTAATCTATCTTTGTCTCCACTGTGCTCCTATGTTTCATACATCGTAAGCATCTTAAGCCAGGTTCCCTGTACAATCAAAACTTAAAAACTTATGACTGGGTGAGGACCAAAGCCAAGGGGACAGAAAACACAAGCTAGCTGATGTTGCAGAGGAAGTAAAAGACAGAAGAAAAAAAAAAAAAAAAACACCTTTCAGCCTCCGCAATGTGAAAATGTGAAAAGCTGGCTGCTTGCTGTAGAGAAGCATCAAAGTCCTGCTCTGTGACCCTTCCCCACAACACCAGAAATAAATATGTGCTGCCTGAAGGTACCAATATACCAGAGGGGCCCAGATACTCACTGTAATCACCAAATCCAGCTGCTTGAGGTATTTGTGCTCAGTTTCCAGCAGCTCCTTGGCGGTCCGGCTGCGTTTTCTCTCCCAGCGAGCCCTCTGCTCTTCCACAACGTCTGCTCCAGCCATAAGTAGCAGGGGTGAGCCACTCATGGTGGTCTCAGAGCTGGCAAACAGAAAGATAACCACTCCTGAGAGCCAAGAGAGATGGACACACAGCAAACACGCAACCTGGGCCTTGGGGTAGGATTCTGAGCTCTGTGCTTTACTGTGGAAGGAGGGAAGCCAGTTACCAGTAATGGCCATAAACAGTTTCTTTCTGCATTCCTATTTGTGCTACAGCAGCCCTCCATCAACCAGAGGAACAGACTGCAAACAGTCGGACCAGACTGCAAACACAAGATAAGTAGTACATTACAATGTATCTGTAAGTGAATCTCAAGCATACAATCCCACCAGCTTTCCTCACCCACAAGCCACTGCTTCCTGTGCTTCATCCAACTCTTCACATATAATTCTCAATAAACCCACGGAAGTTGGTGGGTGGAAGACGTACTGTGCACAGGAGCAGAAAACAGCCCTAAAATGTTTGTTGGGGGAGGAGGATAAATGGAGGGCAAGCACGGAAAGGGAAGGCGTAGAGTGAAAGCGCACTCTTGTTCATTTTCCCCTGGAGGATCCCCCAAAAAGTGAGTGGCTTGCATTGTTATTTTCCAACAGCAGTTTGTGGTTTAGGAGATGAGCATCTGCTGTGAATCACACCATCCACAACTGGCTTCACTACTGCTCTTCTCTTCTGCAAGAGTATCACAGCTACATTAAACAGAGAAACAGCTTCTTTTATCACCTTCTCTCAGAGAAAGACGCATGCACTACCAGAGCATTGCTTAAATCTTGATCTTTCTTTTGATGAAAAGGCAGAGCAGCCTGTTGCACACCTGCCACAGCATGAAGTCTGTGGTTTCTGGGGAAGTTTGCCTCCCTGTATTGAGCTACCTTCACAAGAGTTCTGGCTCACACACTTTCAAGCTGCACTAGCACAGAAAGGTAAGTTGTCTGCGAGAAGTGAATCTGTCAAATACAGTCTTCCAGTGACACTTCAGATACCTGAATCAATAAAACAAAAGTTTTGCACAAAACCAGTATGGAGTCTCATTTAGTATGTCCACAAAAGTCCAGATAGCTGAGAGACACGCAATATTTTCTAGTAGCAAGAATTTCTCCAGAGGTTTATTCTCGCATTTTTTCAGCAAACAACCACAAGCCTAGCTGTGGCCAGGCCATTGTCAAGACCGGACACTGCTAATAGCTGGAGAAGTAGCACTAAGCTACAGCTTAGCATTAGCGTGTTGTTGCAAAGTACTCACAAAAAAAGCAGGCTAAGATGCTACCATTCAAAGAGTATTTTTAGCTAGCGTAAATTGCAGTCCCGACTGTGAACTCTTTACCTTTTGCAGCCAACTTTCTGAAAAAAGAAAACAAAACACCAGAACAACAAATCCACACCACGTTTGACCATCTCTCTATTTTAATATATTAAATTCTGTCTCTTTCAAATCTATTGGGTGAGAGTTGTCTGGAACCTCTGGGTAGACTATAAATTACTTCACATACAAGCAATCTAAGTACATCAGCTTGTTTCTTTCTCGTCAAACTCAGAATAGAAGCTATTGAATAGTTGTTTTTTTTTTTAATAGAATCAACTACTTCATGATGCGCTGCTAACATTCAGTGACGTTTCTACCTTTACTATTTATAACATCCTCAAAAAACAAAAAAAGATCTCCCTTTGTTATCTCACACCAGCCACTCTTCATATTTCTCTGAAATGTCAGCAGCCTAGTGGGTTGAATCCAAGGGCCACAAGGTCTTTGCAACCTGTCTCCAAGGACAGTGACGTTCCCAGGTGCTTGTGCTCCACACACCCCATTTTCTTACTGCTGCACCTCCACCAGCTAGGAACCTGTGGGTTTTTTTTTTTGTTGGTTTTGTTTTGTTTTTTAACCTTTAAAAGAGGTTGAGGAGTCCTGGCAGGCCATCTTGCAGTTAGGACTAATTGCGAGTCCCACGAGCTACAGAGCAGAGCATTCCTCATGCAGCTCACAGGATCCCTCGATTTGGGCTCCTTCTGTAGATTAGGGTGAGCTCGTGCCTGCCTGCAGCCCCTCTGGAACCTCTTAGAGAGCCCCTTTGTATCTGACTCCGTCCCTCGAGGGCCTGGGAAGCTGCAGTACTGTGCTACTGACCTCTTCCTGGCCTGGCCAGGACAGCACCAGGGTGAGATGCTCCAGCCTTTGCCCACTACCACCAGGCAGTATCCATCTCGGACACCTTCAGGGCACCCAAGGGTGCGTTGCTTCACACCCTCAGGCACCTCTGGGGCACCCAAGGGCTCCTCACCCTCCTCCAGCTCCCTGTTTTCACGGGTTTTGACTTGCTTGTGGTCACCTCCGTCCTTCTGCTCACCAAGAAGACAAGTCAGGAAGACTGGAAGAGGCTGCGGGAAGGCACCCCCTTGAAGAAACCTTGTGTTTCTCCACCCCACACCTTCACTTTCTGCAGACTCACAGCCCTGCGCATACCCCAGTGAAACACCACGGGTTACTCTTATCTCCACTCTCCTTCTGCTCACGGTTTGGAGCCGAAGCCCCCATTTTGACACCAGGACGGGGGCGATCCTACAGCCGAGCTGCAGCTGGCTGACAGACCCCGAGGGGCTTGGGGCCACTTTTGTCCCACAGCTCGCCCCACAGCACCCCCGGGGGCTCTCAGCGCCCCCATTCCCTCAGCGAGCCCCCGTCCCCTCATGGCTCCCGTCCCCGTCCCCCCCTCGCCTCACGCGGCCCCGCCGCCCGTTACCTGCCCCAGCCCCGCGGCCGCCGCCCCGCGTTCAAATGGCGGCCCCGCCTCACAGGGCGGCCCCGGGGCGGAGCGGTGGCAGCGGCGGGGAGGGACGAGCCGAGCCGGGACGGCTCCGGGGAGCGGGGAGCGGCATGATGCCTCCCGGGGAGCCGCAGCAGCCGGCCGGCTCGGTGGGGAACCTGGCGGCGCTGGCGGAGCTGGACGAGGCGTCGCTGCTGCAGGGGCTGCGGGAGCGGTTCCTGAGGCAGCAGGTCTACGTGAGTGCGGCCGGGGGCCGGGGCGGGGGGCCGGGGCGGCGGGGCGCTGGGCTCACGGCTCTCCCTTCTCGCCGCCAGACCGATGTGGGGGACATCCTCATCGCCCTCAACCCCTTCCAGCCCCTGCAGCTCTATGGCAGAGAGGTGAGTGGAGCGCCCCGCACTGGGAGCCCCTTCCATGGGTGGCTGGCTCCTCGCCCCTTCCCTCCTCAAGGCCCCCTTGTTTCTTCCCCACACGCAGGTCTCCGAGCAGTACCGGTGCCACGATGAGGGCTCGCTGCCTCCACACATCTTCGCCGTGGCCGACAGGGCCTACCACGCCATGCTGGGCCGCCGGGGAGCCCGTCCGCAGAGCCAGTGCATCGTCATCAGGTGAGGCGCGGGCACCAACACAGCCCTCGAGGGCACGAAGGAGCCCGGCACAGGTGGGAGACACAAGCAGGGAGCAGCTGACGGGGGCTAGGGTGCTGCCACCAGGCTCCGGCAGCAGTTGTCCCATCAGAATTTGGTACGAAGCTCATCCTGAAAGCTTCTGGTGAGTCAAAACCCATCTCCGTTCGCAGCACGTCTTTGTTCGCCATCTCGGTGCTTTCCAGGCAGGAAAGCAGATTGCAATCAAAGGTGTGTGGCAAACGAAGGTGGGTTTTGTGGAGCAACTTGGCTGCCGGTGCTGGTAACGCAGCCAAATGTGTTGGGTCTGAAGGGGTCAGTTCTGTTGGGTGTGTTGGAAAGGTTAACCAGCTCTATCGGGTTGCTTTTCTTTGACGAAAAGACTCGCAGTGTAACTTGTGTAATAAAGGTTGTAAATCATGGAGTAGACCTGTTTTTACAAGGTAGCATTTCCCAAAAATAACCGAAGAAGGAAGAAAGAAAAGAAGTTTCTTTGCTGTAAGACCGTTGAGAATCTGGTCAGGGAAAATCATATGGCCGTGGGAAGCTATATCCACAAAAAGGAAAAAACGTGAGCTCTTGTAACCCCGCAGCGTCCCCATATAATGAGCATTTCATTCCATGATGTCACTGTTGTTTTTTGCTGAAACTGGAGGGCAGCAGACAGCATCAGTGCAGAGAAAGTTTCAAAGAGCATCACCTAGCAGAGAAAGCCTCAAAACACTAGCAAACTCTCTGTTCTCGTGATGGTAGAGGATAGTTTAAATTTCATCTGAGTTGAAATGTCAATTGCTAGCTATTTGATTTAATATTTCCTGCTTTATGCGGGACTTCTGCTCACTTTCATTCAATGTGGTATGGAAAGAACTTACTGAATCACTGGTGAGCATTGTAGCGGGACTGAGAGCTGATGTTGAGTTCCAGCCCCGCTCATTTCTTTAGCTTGCAAGCCATCCATGCCTGTGCTTTACATGTAGCAATCTCAGAAACGCTAGTGGGCATGGTGGCCACAGAGTCAGTAGGTAGAAGATTTGTGCTTAGGAATGGAGAAAAGTCATAGATTGTCTCGGGAGATGGAAGACAGAACAACCTGTAGGCGTTTCCCAGGAAGAGAGCAGTCTCATTTTTTCCTGACAACAGTTTGTGGTGTCAAAGATGACAGCCTGAGCTACTGCCATGCATCTTGCAATTCTATTAACCAGTCTGTGCTACTATAACAGGAAGTTCATGGTTTTACTATCTGCAAGTGGTAAAACAGTTGGTAATGAGATTACCTGGTTCGAGCAAAGTTTGGGTGATGAGGTGGAAGTTCTTCCTGTTAGATCACAGTTTATCAGAACAGCATGGGGATGCACTATGTTCTACTGTTCTTTGTGCTTCAGGTGCCTTCTGGTGAGAAATACCCATCTATAGCCAGGCATGAACCTTTATGCTTTTCACTGGGAAGCAAATATTGCCTTCCTGCCCATCGTGTTCTCTATTTGGTCTCTCTTGGTCTCCCCAACTTCCTCTCGGAGCTCTGGATGTCAGGTTTCAGAGGTTACAAGTGATGTTGAACACAACAGCTGCCCCCAGGTGATAAAAGCTCGTTGCAACCAAGTTGTCCTGTGCTGCAAATTCTACTGGCTTGTCTTTCCTTCCCACTGATGTTATTCACAGCCTCAGTATGCTGTGGTGCAACACGTGGGTCTCTGGGAGATGACTTTGCTTTTTTTTTCACAGCCTTGGGCAGTTACACACCCACAGCTGGAGAGTGTGTTTACAGGCCCTGGCAGATTTACTGCTCTTGCTGGAGTGTGCAGGAGTGAGCTTGAACTGCGGGAGTATTGACAGACAGTGCTTCTGTGGAAGAAGGAAGTCACTGAAAAAGATCATCTTATATATTAGGCAGGGGTTCTGTCTGGATTGCTTATTTCTCAACTAGAAAGTGGTTTTGTTTGTCTGTATTCAGATAATGATGGCCTGATCGGTGCTTGTGATCAGGTAGGTATCTGTCATAGAATTTGAGGTATTCAGCAGCCTATGATACGTAGCTGATCACAAGCCTCGAGTCACTGGGAGCTACTGAGCAGAGAAGCCACACCTGATACTCAAAGGTCTTACGTGTAAACAGAGACCTGCCCTCATAAATACCTGCAGAATTTCCTACTTTTTTTTTTTTTTTTTTTTACTGCATATGCTGCATGTGTTTTCTGCCAATATGATGCCATCAGTCAAGGACACATTGACTCTACATTTCCCCCTCCCAGTAGTCGGGAAGCTGTGCTTTCCAAGTGCTACTTGTTTGTCTTAGAGGTGGAGGTGCTGGGCGTATGTGATGCCAGGATGACGTGCAACGCTGCTGCTGTAGGTGTGACGGCAGCGCTGCAGAGGTAGACCAGCTTTATCAACAGGCTGCAGCGTGTGTATGTGTAAAGAGCCCAAGATTTGAGATCGTTGCAGAATTGCATGATCAGTACTCAGTTCTGGATAAAAGATGGATGGGGCAAATCTCTTTGTAGAAAGAAAAAGCTGTCAACCTCAGCATATGTGGAGGAGTCAGAACACTTTTGAAGGAGGTGTTCTCCAGAGCTTAGGTATGTTTTCAGGAAGAAGGAGATCAAATTGACTGTCCTGTGCACTCTACCCAGAAGTGACAGCTTGGAGTACGTCTGTACTCCCTGGAAGATGGAGAAAAATTCTTCTGGGGGGGTATCAGAACCTTATGGAACCCACTATTTGTATTCATACGCAGCATAACTGAAAAAGTTGTTTAGCTCTTGGATTGCAGATCACTCTCCCAAACGATGGGGCACCAAGACATGAGGGTTAGAGCGTTTGTACTTTATGGCTGCTGGACTTCCCTTTATTTTTTTCTTGGCAGTGGAGAAAGCGGTGCAGGGAAAACAGAGAGTACAAAGCTACTGTTGCAGCACATAATGAACCTATGCAAAGGCAACTCACAGCTGGAGCAGCAGATCCTTCAGGTAGGTCATTGCCGGGTGGTGCTTGCAGATGCAGAAGCAACATTACTGCAGGGCAGCTTGCACGAGGCACCAGAAGCCTCCTGATGAATCACCACTGGAAACGGCAGCAAATCATAAGACACATTATAAGAAAATAATGGGTAAGGATGATGAAACTGCTGACCACAAGTTAGCAGAGTTGGTAGGGTCAGTAATTCTGTTTGCTGGGAATGTAGTGGTTTGATTCTTAAATGGCAGAAAACTATTGTGATCGTTTAGCATGTTTGCTGTTACAAGGGATTAGGGGCTTTTTCTCTGAATCATTTCCTGTTTGAGGTAGAGCAGGGAGTTTTATTGGAAGAATGAAGTCTTGATTTAATGAAACACAGAGATGGAGAATCCACACAGCCTTCAGTAACCTCTCATTGGCTTGTTATACTTACTGTCAGGCACATACATGCTAACTGTCTGACTTAATCTTTTCTATTTTCATATACTTTTGCTAGCTGATTTTGAAACATGTTTGTCTCTGGTCTTAAGTATTTCCACTTGACTTGCTCCCCGAGGAGTTTTTATTTTGAGCAAATCATATCCTAGCCTTCCATCTGATAGATTAAGTGGAATAAGTTCTTGGACTGTTTCATTTTAAAGCCTGTGTTTCAGGTTTCTTGTAGACTCAAATAAATTGTTCTGTATTGTTGCATATTATTTCAGTTTAGTGACATCTGTGGTAGATCTGAGGTGAATGCCTGGGCTGTGTTCTCTCTTGTAGGAGCATGACATTTCTATGCCTGCTGGTTCTGCTTAGGGCTGGCACAGGCCGTACTGCTGAGCTGTTTCTGACTTTAGCAGGTTTAAGAAGCAGGATAGCTGTGTTTGCTCAACATTGTGCCAGGCCTGATGAGCCCTGATGGGCTTGATTGGCAATGCTTGTAACCAGCCTGTATTTGTTCTATTAACAACAAAGTTTACATCAGTTCAGGTGAAGTGCCACTGGAGCATGTAGAGGTGACTGTGAAGAGTCATTTTCACTGTAGTCATCTTACTTGGTTCCTGTAGATATATTCAAAGACTAGGTTAGCTCTTTGGGGATTAACTGTGTCACACTGTAAAGCTGTGTTCTGCAGGTTACCCAGCAGGTGCCCCAAGTCACCATTCTTCCAGCCAGCAGGCATTCTTTGCTCAATTATGGAAAAATTGTCATTTGAACTTGTTTGTATATGGTTTGCCAGGCTGGTCTTACTGTTCTCTTAGTTTCTTTGTAATTCACTGTCCTGATCCTTATGCTGGCTACAAATGTCATTAGGTAATTTATCATGATTACATTCAGTAAGTGCCATATTTACTTCGCTTATTGCTATAGTTTAGCAGTAAATTATCTAGCAGTGCCACATCAGATGCACTGGAGAAGTTTGTTATACCAACAATGTCTTTTAACAAATAAGTGGATGGTCTTACTGAGAGCAAGTAAGACCATAATTCAGTTCAATTGTGCTTATTTTCAGTAATTTCATGCTGCTTATGCTTTGTCATATTTGGCTCTTGCAGGTTTTTTTTCCAAGATATGAGAAAATAAGTGCATATGGGCAGAGTGGTTCTTATTCCATTGAAACAGTAAATAGCAAATGCTGAAGTTAAGCTTTTTCAAACAAGTTGGATTGAGTCACTTAATTTGAAGAGTGCTTGTTCTATCTGTATACCTCTTACAGGTAAATCCATTGCTTGAAGCTTTTGGCAATGCCCAGACTGTGATGAATGACAACAGTAGCCGCTTTGGAAAATACATACAGCTGCGTTTCCAGAACAATACAGGTAAAGTCAAGAGCAATATTTGAAATTACTGCTCGGGGGGATGGTTAGGCACTGGAGGGAATGGACTGAGTAGCCAGAACTTAAGGAGGGTGAAATTTCATTACCTGATTCTCTGTGGAAATCGTATGCAAGTAAGAAAAGTAACAACAGTAATCATGGCTTTAAGATGGGTCTGGATGCTGTGGGAGTTTGGGAAGGATATGGGAATGATGGTGCAGGTGAGGTATCAGTAATGCTCAGTGGTGCCTGAAGTTTTGGTTGTTTTTAAAGGAGGTGAGCAGATTTAATATGGGAAGCATGGAGAAGCCCACTTCCAGAGTGATGGGCAGCCTAGAGGGTGTCGTACACACGTACACAAGATAGTTATTTTAGACAACTCCATGCTCCTGTCACTAAAGTAGAGATGTGGGGCAGCTCAGTCAGCCTGATGTCTCCAAGTGCAAAGTTTACCCTGTTGCCTTCTTGTGTGCAGTGCGAGGTGCAAAGCTGAGTGAATATTTGTTAGAGAAGTCACGGGTAGTGCAACACGATACTGGCGAGAGGAATTTTCATATCTTCTACTACATGTTTGCTGGACTGTCTTCAGAAGAAAAGGAGATGTATGGGCTGTTGGATCCTTCACTCTACAGGTACTTCCAACCCTGGTTTAGTCTTCATGGTGGGGGGTAGAAGGGGAAGCAGCAAAACGGAGCCTATTATTCTGCCAGTGGGGGTAGAGCGTGATACAGGTAAACAACTGAATGGAAGCAAGAGTGGGGTCTGAATGGAACTACATGAAGAGATCTTATGGATTATCATGAAAACTGGTAGGTCTGTAGTCTCTTCTTTGTTGCATCACCTTGGAAAAGTTTCCTTGCCTTTCACATCTTCACTGCTGCTGACCTGCTTTGTTTGTTTGGGGTAGGACTGACTTGCTATGCTGATTGCATGATGATTTTGTATGGGGTATGCACTTTCTCAGGTACATAAGTGGACAGTTTGGTACAGAGGACGTAGCTCAGCGCTGGAAGCAGAAATACCAAGAGGTGTGCAATGCCCTTGACATGGTGGGCTTCCAAGAACAGGTCAGTTTGGGGATCTCTATGTTTCTGAGTTTTCTATGGTGTTTCCAAACTACCTGAATCTCAGACTTTGTGTAGAGCCTTTTCCCACAGGCTGCCCGTGCCTTTCCTTCACCTCTTCACCATCTGGGTACTCCATGTGTTGTATGTTATATAGTAGTAGGTTTTCAGTCACCCCTCTTGTGTGTTTTAGGAACAAGTGGACATGCAGGCAATCTTGGCTGGTGTATTGTCTCTGGGCAACGTGACCTTCGAGCCTCCAGAGAGCAATGGGTCTCTAAAAATGAGTGAAGCCTCCCGGGGATGGCTGAAGGCTGCAGCGGTGAGTCCCAAGAAGAGCTGACAGACACCTCAAAGATATGATGCTGGTCCCCACTGGCAGTGTAATTGCAGGAGCTGCTCCTGCCAGAGATGGCAGAGGATGTTTCTGCCTGTTAGTACGAGGACTTCTGAAGAAAAAATTGTTTTCAAGTATGGCCCCATGCCTGCCTTTGTGTTTATTGCTATGTGGTCAATCCAAAGAGACAATTTCCAGCTTCTCATTCTTGTTTATCTAGGACCAGTGTTTTGCATGTGTTGATATTACATGTGCCTTGTTGACTTCACATAATGTAAAGTTTTTAAAAATCAAATTCCTTATGTTACTAAGTGTAATGCACTGGAGAAATTCGGGTTTGCAGTTCCTGAACACTAGCTTTGTACTTTAACACAAATCCTGGCCACTTTAACTGCTATTATTTTTGTTGATAGTCCTGAATTAAACTTTCTACTACCTTGCGTAAAATTGTTATCAGATTAAAAATTATATATTCCCCAGGACTGTCCCATTTCTACGGTATGGGATGCATACATTATACCACTTTGTTAACAATATGGAACAAAAAAATGTAGTATATTTGTGTTTTTTCTCTGTCTTTTGATTTTGTCTCTTTGAAAGCCCAGCAACCTTGGTTTTGTGTTTCACTCTCATCTCCTTGCCTGTATTCCTCCTACACCATACCTGAAACAACCACATACATCTGTTCAGCAGCCAACTTCTTTCTGCCTGTCTTTTTAAAACCTGCTCCTTGTTTTTGTTTTTTTTTTTTTTTCCCACAGGAGGGGAATTCCTGTCAGAGTAATTACTGAGGAGTTCAGTTATATCTGTTTGTTTCCTGGTTCTTTTGGGTTCACGTGACTGATGTCTGCTGCAGCTCAGACACCTCAGCACTATGCACAGTCACCTTGGTGTGGTGCTATTCAATAAGTCATTAAACCATTCAGTAGGGACTGGTGTGGCTCCCAGAGAATGTGACAGGTGACAGCACTGGGAGATCAAAATGGAAAGTAGAGGGAGTGCAAGAGTGATCTTACTGCACGGGATAACACACATCTCAGAGCATGCATTTGACAGGTGCTGCAAGATGTTAACAGTAATGCTTATTATACAGTTTAGCTCAAAGGCCTTAACTGAAGTCATGGCCCCATTGTAATGGGTGTTCTACAGACATATATACAATCCCCATATGTAGAATATAGGTTCGGTATTGACTCCTCATCTGTTTCTTCTCTCCCAGGGTCAGTTTGGAGTCCAGGAGGATGAACTATTGAAATGCCTCATTTGCACAATGTCAGTGACCCGAGGAGAGCAGATTCAGCGTTTTCACACCCAGCAGCAGGCAGAAGGTAAGAAACATAATTAATTACAGATGTGCTGGCTTTAAAGACTGACTCATATTTGATGGAAGGGCGCCCCTACAGATGTGCAATATCCTGGGAACAAGGATGTCTGTCTGTGACACTTCCTCATGCCATTTGCACAGAGGCAAGTATCTGCTCAGTTTCAGATACTTGTTTCACTCAAGTTTCAGTGCGTATCTGCTCAGTTTCTTACTGATGCCTAGGACTATGAATGCTGCTTTTGTTTGACCTCCAGAAGACTGCAGAGGTTAAATGAGAAATGAAAGAATTATCCTTGCTTTCTCTGTGATTCAGCCTAGAAGAAAACTGTAATTGTCTGCGAAAGAGAGAGGAAGGCTACTGCTGCAGAGTGCTGACAGTGTGCAGAGCTTTAGGTAATAGTTGGAGAAATAACTGAGAGAATCAGTGAGATGGCGCAGTTTCATGGAAGGAGTTAGATGAAAGGGAAGCATGTTAAAGTAACAATTGCATTTATTATTTTCCCTTTCAATAAGAAAAAATATAATAATACAAGATAATCTTCACAAAAAGGTTCAGTTAAAAGATTTTTTTAAAATCAACATAAAATCCCAGCTTTTCTAGATTATTTCTTAAAAAATGGACAAAAAAAAGTGAAAACAGAGAATTATCTATTTATGTTTCCCAAATTTCTTCTCCTACATCTATCTAGGCAATAAAATAACATCTTTCAGGAGGTGCCTGTTGATTTAGTCTCCCTCTTCTTACAATATCAGCAAATTTTTCATAACTTGTATCTTCCTCTTGCCCACTGTGTTTCAACACTTTTGGTAACAGCTATCAGCTAGGAGAAATTTCAAGTGTTTGCAGCAGAACCATTCAATTTCCTAAGAACAACTTGTATCCTCTAGCTTGTTTAATCTTGACAGGATCCTCACCCATTTGATGAGCAGCAGGGAAAGCAAGTCTCTGGATATTCTAAAAAGTGTGGATGAACATTTTCCATTGTATATGGTATCACAAGTTCCCTAGTATGCCATGTCTGATCTTGTAGAAAGATTGTGAAGACTTCAGACTGGAAGAGCTCTCTGTGAGCTTGCAGAAGGCTGGGATGATCAGGCAGATACCTAATGTTTAGCTGTTCTTTAAAATAGCTTCATAAAGCACAAGACGTTGTTACTAGAGGTGAACGTATTGAGCCAGCTTGTGTGCCATATTCCCTACTCTCCTCAGAACCCTTCAGTGTATTTTTCTCTCTGTGCAGATGCTCGGGACTCCATTGCAAAGGTGGCATATGGCCGAGTATTTGGCTGGATTGTTTCCAAGATCAATGAGCTGTTGGCTGAGAACGTGGATCCTGAAGTAGAGCTGAGGGAGATAGGTGAGTTCTGCCTTCTTTGCTCCTTCTGTCCTCAAACATGCATTCCTCAGCCATGACGAAGGATAGATGCCATGTGAGCTGTTGAAGGGATTGTATGTAGGGCTCCAGTTTCAAAAGCACAATTGTGCTGGAGATGCTAGTGAGCAGCATGAAGTCTGTAGTTCTAGTAATCTGAAGCAACTGTGAGTCTGCAGTTTGGGGCACTCTGGCTTTGCAGAGGAGCTGGGGGTTGGAGTGGGTCTTCTCCAAACTGGTTGTCCAAAAGGAGTTATAGGAGGGCTGCCACTAGCTACTTGGCCAGGGGTTCGTGTGCCACAAGAGCTGTGTGATAGGAGATCTGGTTGTGTGTTGGGGTCTGCAGGCTCCATGGTGTGCTCATTTCCCCTCTTTTAGGTATCTTGGATATTTTTGGGTTTGAAAACTTTGCAGTGAATCGTTTCGAACAGCTCTGCATAAACTTGGCCAATGAGCAGCTGCAGCACTTCTTCAACCATGTAAGTATGCTGTGGGTGATCTCTCCTTGAGGCAGGGAAAGCAGAACACTGATCTACCTAGCATATGAAGGAGAACTTGGTAGAAAACAGGTCTGTTGCCTAGAAGGCAACAGCAGGGTTGAAAGCAGCAGCCTTCTCTGCTGTGGCAGAAGAGCCAATGGTACAGGGAGAGTATGATTAGAAAGATCAAGCAATAACCAGAGTTGGCAGAGCAGGGATGCTTAGACTCTGAGAAGTGCTTTAGCTCTATGCAGCACCACCAGTGAGTGACAAACTCATGGATGAGCATGCAGAACAGTGGCTTCATCTTGGGCCTCTGATGCCATGGGTAAGAGAGCCATGCCTCTGTCCTCTGCTCAAGGTCAGAAGGAAGATGTTCAGGATTGTCTAACTAAGTTTGCTGGGGGCTCTAACCTCTGTTTTCTCTGTCCCAGCACATTTTCCAGCTGGAGCAGGCTGCCTACAGGGCGGAAGAACTGTCTTGGGAGACTATCACATTCAACAATAACGAACCTATTCTGGTGAGTGAGAGAGGACTGATGGAACAGAGTTGCTCCATTCAGCCAAGACATGAGTGTTGCTCTTGCAATCTCACAAGGAGGAGATGCATTTGGGAAAGACCTTTTCAAAGGGTGGTGTAGGTGACAGTGGATACCCTGTACTGCTTTAGGTATATATAATCTCTCTCTCTTTTTCTCTACAGAATCTGCTCCTGGCCAAGCCACTTGGGCTGCTGTCCCTTCTGGATGAGCAGAGTGCGTTCCCTCAGGTATACATGGGATATGGGACAGAAAAAATGATGTGGGGAATGTAACAATAAGTCTGTAGGCTGAAGAGAAAACTCTGTGTAGGTGTGTGAAATAGCAAGGTGAGTAGAGGGGTCCCTATGTGTATCTGATGGAACAGGACAGTCATATCAGGGACAGTCCAATAATAATGGCAACCCTGTGGAGAGTCAGAGAGAGCACGAAACTGCTGCAGAGCCAAGGCTACTTCCAGTACTTTGTTTTGCTTCCTTATGCCCTGATCATGTCTCTGTTGCAGCCGTATAATTTGATTATGAAATCTGCTTTCTTGCAGGCAACTGATAAGACATTTGTGGATAAGCTAAACAGCAGTTTTAAAGGGAATTTACACTTCCAGCCGGCCCGAGGACGTGTTTTGGGCTTCAGCATCATTCACTATGCTGGGAAGGTAGGTACGGTTTGTGGGAAGAATGCTGTCATAGTGTAGGAAGGGGGGAAATGAGATGCTTGACAAATAAGGCTTTGAATTCCCTGGGAGCTGCCTCCTAGGATTCCTTGGAAGCTCTTTAGAAGTGGGACTTCCTCTGGGAAGCATATGGCATTAAAAGAATCTGTCACATTCATCATCAGTCTATTGGAGCTGAAATCTTAGTCCTTTAGAAAGAAAAAGCCCTACATCCACAGCCCTGGAGGCAAGTCTGATGGCTTTGCCTTAACCTGTTGTTGTCCAGACTGCGGCTGTCAGTATTGCAAACACTGAGGAACACAGTGAGAGCAACCAGGTAATCAATATTTTGATGGAGGCACTTATTAATATGCATAGTTGTTAATTAAGCAGATAGGTTTTTAGGACTATTTCATGTAGCCTTACTGCTACAGCTTTGAAAGCATTGGCCCAAATACATCAAATTGATTTGACCTAATTTTTGGAGCAGGGTCAAAGATGAAAATCAGGTCATTCTAATATGTAATTTAGTAATCTGAGCTGTTGACTATGTTGTTACTTGTGACATTCATTATTACAAACATTAACACTAGCATAGAAAGGGGAGTGGCAAACCGGAGATGAGAAAGGAAGGGAGCAAGAGAAACATTACAGACAGGATGGCAGCCTTTTCAAAAGGAAGAGGGTTTAAGCAAGGAAAAGAGTGAAGCATTAACCAAAAGCAAATGAGACTTCAAAATCAAGGAAAGCTGAACAAGAAAAGGTAAATGTCTCAGTGTTGTTGTCTCCTGTGGTTCTTATGCCCTTCTAATGCATCTGAAGGGGATATATGTGCTCTAACAGAACTCACCTTCAGGCCACTGTGCATTCTGATTAACAGTTGCTCCTGGCAAGCTGTGGAGGTGGCTTTCACAGCAAGCTTGTGAGCACCACTGCCCTTTTCCCTAGGTACAATACACTGCTGATGGCTTTCTAGAGAAGAACAGAGACACCTTGCCAGCTAATGTCCGTGGGCTCTTCATCAACAGCATCACCCCCTTGCTCAGTATGCTGTTCACAGGCAAGTCCCTCTGTTGTTATAGGGAGTCTAACATGAATTGTGGTCCTCCTTGGCAAGAGCTAAGTGTAGGGATGAGTCTTGTGTGCTACAAATGTTTTTCAGAGCTGACAGCCTCAGTGAGATTCTGGGAAGGCTGCAGCCTGGAGTAGGGCTGCTGGCGTATACGGAGCTGTCTGAGCTGTTCTTTTCCCCTTGGTACATGGGCATTATAGCAGGAACATCCAGAGGGGTTCCTCCTGTGGAATTGAAGGAATGTTGCATATACATAGTTCTGACCACAGGCCTGACCATCTTTACAGCCACTAGTTACAGCCGAGCCTGGTCTTTCCAGGCATCCAGGTTTTGGTTGATTGCTGTCTTTGCTGCAGCAGGATGTTAGTCTTCCTGTCAGCAATACCTCCTGAGATCGCTCTGGTAGATTTTCTAACCTGCACCATTTGTTTTGACCATGTCTGGAAAGCAAGGAAAGTTGAATCCTTTCCCAGAGATATAGCCACTGCTTAGATGCTCTGTTCTTGTCTAGAAATGAAGCTGGACAAAGCCATAGCTCCTAACTATTCACATGGTAAATAAATTGGTGTTCAGACAGTGCAAACAATGGGGGTAGAGAAGATCATTTTTTAAAAAAAATTAAGGTATAACTTGTTAAAAAAAAATGAGGTTGTGTGCATTATTTCTCTCCTGCCACTATACTCCCACTTTTCCAGTTACTGGTAAGTCCTCAGAGTCTCCGAAACTTCTGAGAAAGTACAGGTTTAAAGAAAAGTCAGGTAGATGCTTCCTTGTAATTTGTCTGAATACAGTGCTGCTGCTGCAACTTTTTTTTTTTTTTTTTTTGATCCTGTTCATAGAATCATGGAAGTTGGAAGGGACCCATAAGCATCATTGAGTCCAACTGCTGGCTCCACATAGGACCACCAAAAATTCAGACCATGAGTCTGAGAGCATTGTCCAAATGCTTCTTGAACTCCATCAGGCTCAGTGCTGTGACTGTACTGGGTCTGGCTGGGATGTTAACTTTCTCTGCAGCAGCCCATACAATGCTGTGCTCTGCACTTGTAGCCAGAACAGCAGTGTTATCACACCAGCGTTGTGTTTGCTGCTGAGCAGTGCTGGCACAGCATCGGGCCTCTCTAACCCTCGTAGGGGGTGGGCAAAAAAGTGAGAAAAGAAACATAACCAGGGCAGCTGACATAAACCAACCAAAGGGATATTCCATACCATGTGGTGTCACACTCAGCAAAAAAAGGAGGAAACAGGAAGAAGAAGGGGGGGTGGGCTCTCGTTGTGAAAATGTCAGGCCTCCTCCCGAATACCGGCTACATGTGTTGAAGCCCTGCTTCAAGGACGTGGTCAAGCATCGCTCATTTGTGGGAATTAGAGAGTAATTTCTTTCCTCTGCACTTCCACATAGCCTTTAGTTGTTTTCTTTTGCTGTTTGTTTTTTTTTTTCCTTTCCCCCTTCCTTTTCCCCTTTCATTTTTTTTTCCCTTCAGTTAAATTGCTTAGTTAATAATAATCTTTCTTTAATAATTATTTTTTTCTCGTTAGTTAAATTATTTTTATCTCAACTCGTGAGTTGTTTCTTACTTTACTTCTTCCCCTCCTCATCTAAGGAGGGGGAGTGAGAGAGCGGTTGTGGTGTTCAGCTGCCTAGCACGGTAAAACCACCACAGTGACCACTGCCCTGGGGAGCCTGTCCCAGTGCCCAACCACCGTTTCAGTGAAGAACCTTTTCTGTCCAACCTGAATCTCCACTGATGCAGAGTCCTGAAAGTTCTAAAAGTCAGAAAGTTCATAAGCAGCAGAGAAAACCTGTTCTCAGTGCAGATTATTTGTCTGGTCCTGGGCAGCCAGCTCTAGGTGGCGATGCAGAGCAGTGGGGTTGGACCAGATGACCTCCAGCAGTCCCTGCCAACTTCAGTCATTCTGAGATTGTATGATTCACACAACAGTATTGCATCAAGGGTGTGCAAGAGTGTCATTAGATCCTTCAGTAAATTCAATTTCCCTGAATTTTTTGTCTTGTCACTGAATTAATTTTATGTTATCTGACTTTATAGATCTCCCCTCTCCCATGTTAACCGTGAGTGGGTGAGCTTTCCATTTGCTATATATATATATATATAATATATATATATATATAGAATATATATTTATATATATATAAAAGTATATATATATACTTTTTTTCTGCATTGTTAGATGCCTACTATTGATGATCTTTCTTTGAAGGTCATTTATGGTTACTCAATTACCCCATTGTCTTCTCATTGACAGAAAATAACATTGCCTAGGTGGTGTGTTTAGTATTCTTGCATTTTCTTCTCACCTTCTTCAGCTCTATCCTTATATTTCCAGATAGTGAAATCTAAAGTACGGTCTGTGATTTAGCATATGTGGGAAAATTTGTGTTTGAAGTAAGGTTTGAATGTTTAGGAATGGTTGATTGTGAGCAAAGGTACAAAATTAACTATTGTCTCTGTTCTTCCAGCCACTATCTCCAGGACAGGGACACTGATGCCACATGTGAAAGCCAAGGTATCACATTTGAGGTCCATATGGAAATTGATAAAAGATGATGTAGCTAACTTATGTTTATTATTGGCTGAAAGTGGGAGCAAACAATCTGATGGCAACAATTTCTTCTTTGTTTTGTACAAAGTTTTCTGGTTGCCTCTGTTGCTGTGTTTGATTTACCTTCCTGAAATCCATTCTCTCTTATTTTAGTCATCTGCTTTCTGACAGAAATGTTTAGATAGCAATCAAACACTCCTTCCAGGAGTGACCCTTTTGTTTGTGTCTGATTTCAGATCGTACCAGAAGCAGACAACAAGTTCAACAGTACACGAAAGCAGTCTGCTGGAGCTCAGTTCCGGGTAAAGTATTGATGCCCCGCAGTGCCCCTTGAGATGTGTGCTGTAATGTTTTCTTGAGAGCTTCCAGGCTGCTAAGCATATTTAAAGCATCCAGCTTGTAGACAGAGTTTTTTTTCTGGGTGCCAGGCACGGCTGTTAGCAGTAACTTGGCTGTAGTCAGAGCCTGGGCTGTTGCTTTTACAAGAGCCTGAATTAGTGGCATGGGAAGACAGTTCTCAGCTGCAGGGTACAGCACTGGGGGGGCTGGCAGCACTCTGGCTTGCTGGGCTGTTGATCTTTCTCTGCCCTCACCAGCATTCCCTGATGGTTCTCATGGAGAGGATGTATTCTGCAAACCCACACTTTGTGCGCTGTATAAAGCCCAATAGCCAGAAAGAGCCAGGCGTTGTGGACAACCAGATGTTGCTACAGCAGGTAAGGAAAAGCAGTTTCCTTTGCAGGTACTTCTGCCAAGTCTCAATGGAAAGTAGATCTAAGGCAGGGAAGGAGTAGATTTAAGGAAGGGAAGGTCAGACACTATTGAAAAGCAATGGACGTAGCTGGAAGCTTACTGGTCTGACTCTTCCCTTGTAGGAGAAAGAATGGGAACACTTTTTATGCATGTAAAGGTTCTGCGCTTTTGGTAGTTTTTATGAAACATTGCTATGTTCAAGTTTTACAGTCTTCTCTCCCATTTCATTTTCATGATTGCAGTGAGATCTGCTTGTCAGGGACTAGGGTTTATCTTTGCATCTTCTGGATGGGGACTGGTACAGACAGTACCTCTCCAGGGCAACTCTGAACAGGAGCCAAGATGGGATTGCTCTGATAGGAGCTGATATGTGCTGATATAACTTTCTTTGGATATTGTGTCAAGTCTGAGATCCAGCCACTTTAAAGAATATTGAAAATGATTAGAAGAGTTCAGAAAGCTCTGTGGCCTCTTTGGTGTGTGTTTATGTATGCGTATGTATATGTATATGAAGTATAAGAAAGGGTGGAATTAAGAGGGAAGTTGATCTGTTCCCCAGGGTACTTCTTTGTACGGATTTGGAAGCAGAATACTATCCTCTGAAGGACAGGGGCTAAGTAGTGCCCTTGGCTGAAAGGTGAAGCTATTTCGGTTGTTGGTTTTTATGGTTTCTGAAAGTGGTTAATGACCAGAGTTGCAGGATGTGGTAAATTCAGTCTTTAGCCGAGGTCATATTATCAGAAAGAAACATTGTTATTTTTTGAACTAGAGAGGCTTGGGCTGCAGAGGGACTTACTGATGCGCTACTGACCAGTTCTGGCCTGTGTCTGTTTGTTTCTCTGATCCTGTCTTTGTGGTGCTGCTTCAGCTCCGGTACAATGGACTGCTGGAGACTATCCGGATCCGAAGAGACGGTTTCTCCTGGAGACCATCATTTGAGGAATTTGCTGAAAGGTACGTTAAAACCTCTGAATGTTTCTGGTTAGGTATTGTTAGAGAAGTGACACTGGTAACCAGATACAGGCAGGGAGTGAATCTGCTTCTTCTCAGTTCACGTGCCTGAGACCATGGTGGTGTTCGCTGTGGGAGACCTACTGAGAAAGACTGATTTATTGTTGTTTGCTGTGAGGATGACATGGATCAGCATGGCATGTCAAGGATATGGCTTTAATCTTGCTGAATTGGTTTGCTTTTCACAGATATGGAATTCTTCTAGTTAAACCAGATGTTTCCCTCAACAAAGAAAGGTAGGAACCTTTCCCTTGTTATGTGTAATCCACTTTGTTTATCAGAGACTTTTGTTGTCAGGACAGAATAGCAAACTGAGTAGAAAGAACAAAGTGAGGACGCGTTTTTGTGGTGATGGGGAACAGAAACTCCTAGACAAAGACAACTAGTGTTTAGAACTCATTTGGTGCAATGATGAATGAAATCTTTCTTGAATTACTGTGTAAGCAATTCAATTTTAAAACTTTACTACCCTCTGGAATGAGGACTGGCTAATGGGACTTAATATGGGGAGTCATGGTAATGGTTAAGGGTGTCCACAGAACTCAGTATGGCAAGACTCAGCCCAGCTGACAGCTGCCTCCCCAGGTTTTTTCCTGATGGTCTCATGAGGTGAAAAAGATAAAGGCAATGCTGACTAAGCAGCCAGCACTGAATGTCTTCCAGGCTAGAAACGATGTTTCTGGTCCAAGAATTTTTTATGTGTACAGGCACAACATACCCACAGCTCTTCCAGAACCTGATTGTTCCTTCCAAGTGTAAATGTCCCTCCAGCTCTGAAGTGTTACCCTGTTAGCAGTTTCCTTCCTACAAGTAGGGCAGCAACTCCCCACCTCCTAGAAGTTATTGATAATACTGAATTAATAAGAACTGCAAACCTAAGTGGGGTTCAGAGAGAATCATACAGATGAGAGAGAGAGATGATGTTAGACAGGCAGCACAGCATGTTATCACACAAAAATCATAGGATGCGTTTGGGAAAAAAAAATACCTTGGATATAGTTCCTGGCACAGCACAAGTTGGCTGAGATAGAAGGAAAATAATTTCTGTTTTGCTATGCAAGATACTTGCAAAAAGTGTCACTATAGTTTCACAGCCTGGATTTGTAAGCAGAGAGAGGAAGCTGTGTGACAGCTGGAGTACTGCTTTCATTCCAAGCATTGCAGAAACTTTCTAAGCAAACCAAGTTTTATCACCAGAGCTTGCAAAATAAAACTGAAATTGGAAAATAGACTTTCTCAAGGAAATCTTGCCTTAGTGAGCCTTTAGCTTCTGTACTCAAAATTGCATAGAAATGAAATGAGGAAAAAGGCTCTGTGGAATTGCTTCCCAGAAAGCAGAAGGAAGTCTGTATCTGTGAGCCCCTTTGACGATGTTCACTAATTCAGTCTTCTCCTAGCTGTACCTCAAGGAGTGCAATAGATGACAGCTAGTTACTGAGTGTCATCAGGTGACAGGACAAAGAATGCAGTGCAAAAATAGTGAGGCATAAATAGGAAATATTCCTGTTTATGAGGAAACTTCCTCATATCCCAGTGAGGAAAAATTCTCACTCTTTCAGCACCTAAAAGTGCTGGCCACAGAGTGGTCAGTCTGGGTGGAAAAATACTTATTTCACTTTCCTTCCTGTCTTTCAGCTGCTTGAAGATACTACAAAGTACAGACGTGACGGGCTGGATATGTGGGTAGGTGTGGATAACTTTCTGGGAGTGAGGTTCTGAACTGCAGAGACTTTATACATGTGAACTGTTACCTGGTTCCCTTCAGAAGAACTTTATGGCTGTATGAAATGCCTGTCCAAAGGGTGATTGGATACAAATTTACACAAACAGTATTTCTCATTACTTCCTTTTCTCCCCAACCTCACAGAAAGTCACGGCTTTTCTTTAAATATTGGCACCAGGAACAGCTGGCAAAGTATGTGGAGCGACTAGAGAGAGCAGCAGTTGTCATACAGAAAGGTGAGCACTGGGGCAGGAGGATCCCTCAACTCTGGTCTCACACCAAAGCAAGGAGGAACTTTTCTCTAGTCCCTGCTTCTTTATTGCACCTTCTCAGGTGACAGGCAGGTTGTCTCCATGTCAAGCCCTTGTGGAGTCAGAGTGTTTACTGCCTGTGTCCTCAGTGATTACCCTCAATAGGGAAGAGCCATCAAGCAGCCCCAGCCTTGGAAAGGGAAAGTATGTGTTCAGGGGAACTGAGCTGAGCAGGACAAGCATATGATTTGGCTGTGTCCCGAGGACTGGCTAACTGCCCTCTGGAGTGAGGGCTTGTTTGTGAGCTGTGTGAGCTGAAGAGGCAAAAGCAGATGAGCCTGAAGCAGGTCTCCTTCCTGCCTTCAGAGAGAGGCAAAAGAGTGTGTGGTTTGGTTGGTTGCTTAGTTGATTTGGTTTCCCTTTCCCTTCCAAGTAGTGTCTGCTCTTGACTCTTCAGAGCAGAGCACAGTCTGGTGCTTCCCCCTGCACAGGCTTCAGGACTGTGCAGTGAGGAGGAGCTGTCACCCTGCCTGGTCCCTCCCTGTTGTGCTTCTCTTCCGCGTGGGTTGCTGCACTGCTGCAGCATCTGAGCAGCTTCCAGCCGTGCACCGCACAGTGACAGACATCAGTCACGTGCTGCTCCTTGTCTTCTGGGGGGGAAGATGTGTGGGTAGTGTCCAGAGAGGAACGAGAGGGAGCTGCTTTCAATTCGTGTGCTTCAGTACTGGTACAGGAGGCACAATAATGCGCTGTCGCTAATCCTGTTGGTGAACTCTGTAATGAGAGCTTAAGGGAAAGGTTATCACATGGACTGAAACCAAGGAAATCCTGTCTCCTAAATAGAAGAGCTTTGCTTTTATTAAAGTAGTGTCTGAAGGGTGCTGAGTAGTTAGATGGCTAACAGCGGCCCTTCTGTGAGACTGCTTTTTAGGCATCCTGTGCCTTGGCATTAGAGATGAGGGCTTAGATCTGCAATTTGATGTTTTAAATCTGTGATCTGGCAGCTTAGAGAACAGAAGACAGTTCTCATATGGTTTTGACTGCCTGCTCACAGCAGAGTGTCTGCATTGCTCTTTGTTAATGTGGTTCAGGTGTTGAGGGTTTTGCACTGGGCAAAGAAATATCATCCAGTGTGCTTCCCCCAGGGAGTGAAAGAGGCATGATCAGCACTTTTCTTTCCTAACCACAGCTTTTCTCTGAACAGTTTTCAGGGGTTTCCGATGCAGGAAGAGTTACCTGGAGCTGGTGGCTGAGCTGAGAGCTCAAGCACAGCGGCAACAGGAAGAGGCAGAGAGAGAAAGAAGCCGACAGCAGGCAATGGAAGCAGAGGCCCAAAGTGAGTCAATCCCACTCCCACTGCCCCATGCACGGCCACTTTGTTAGCTCCAGGTGATGATGGCCTGCCTTAGGCTCTCATGGAGATGATGGGGTGGGCAGAGAGTTGCTGACATTTCCACCCTTTGAAGGTCAGGATTTCTCTGTGGGGAGTGGAAGCAGCGTGATGAAGGTCATTTGCTGGCTGTGTTGGGAGGAATGCCAAACTGTGGCCTTCCCACCTTCTCTGTGCGGGAGAACTTTGATCATAGCTTTGTGTCTGTACGTAGCTTTCCTTGTGGCTTGCAGAGTGGGAGTTGACAGTGATTGTGAGGCTGTGCTCTTTTCCTCTTTTGCCTCTTCCCAGTCTCAGAAGCCTGGCTGAGGAAAGACAGGAAAGGACTGAGCTCCACAAACATGTTTTTGGTGATCCCTCTTCCTGCTGTTGCTACTGTGTGTGCTGGAAAGACAAAATCTTTCCTCTCTCTGAGAGTGACAGCATACCTGGGAGGATGGATCCCATGGATCTTGGACCTTAGATTTCATCTACTTCTTTCCTCTTCTTGCAGAAAGAATCTCCCTTCCAATCCCTGTGCCACGGAAAAGACTCCCTAGGCCTTATCCCCATCCTCAGACTGTCCCTGACATGCCACCACAGCCACCGGTGCCACGGCCACGCAGCAAACTAACAGAGGTAGCAACCTTGGCTCTGTTTGGGGTCACTTATCCACTTGTACAGTTTTCCTGCTCCTTGCACATATTCTCCTGCATGTGGTCCCAGGAGAGCATAATCTTTCTAGCATAATCTCTCTAGAAGAGAGAGTCCTTTCCTAGCGTCATTAGTTAAAAAGTGTGGTCAGGACCTTTGAGGAGCTGAAAGCAGCACATGATAGTTTGTGACTGATCTTATCTTGAAGCATTTAGGAATGGGATCTGCCAAAGTGATTCAAAGGGCCCCTGTCTGACCTTGCTTTCTTTCATTCCCACTTTCCTGTTCTCCCCATTTTCAGTTCACTCCTTTCGACAACTTCCTTCATCCTACTGGGCCTCGCCCTGTTCCGGGGACAGAGGAACAGACTGGAGAAGAGGCAAAAATGAGGCAACTCAAGAGAGGAGCAACTCTCCGCTGGTTCAGAGAGACGCAAGCCCAGAAGGTCATGCAGGATGATGGGGCCTTTCCGAGCTGGCTGCATGGAATGATCAGCCGGAGGTGAGTGTGCTGGGCACAATTTGGGCTGTGGCAGGCAGGCAGAAGCTGCGGTGTCCTTAAGAAGAATGTGTAAGTTGGATTCCCCTGGATTTGTGTCCTTGAGGAATGGGAGTGACATGCATAACTTCTCACTCTTAGGCTGGAAGCTTCAAACCATTAGGCAGAAGCTCAGAGTGTTGTGTCACAGGATGCAACTGCTGAAACTCTACATAGGCCCAAGGAAAGACTGTGGACTTTTCTACTTCATAGCAAGTAAATTCCCTGTGGGTCCCTAAATACAGCCCCAGTGCACAAAAGGGAGGCTGGGAACGTACTTGAGGAAATACACGTATGTGCTTGCCACGTTCTGGACCATTTGCATAGGTGTGATATTGAATGAAGATGGACTTTTGCTCTGACTCATGACTATCCTCACGTTCTCAGTTTAGGTGAAATTACAGCAGAAGAATAAAGAATTCAGTATTCATTTATTCGTGAAAGTATTAAAAAATAGTTTAGTTGGTGCCCAATGACAAGATTCACTGAAGTCCCTAGGTGTGGAAATAGAAGAAGGCTTTTTTGTTGATACTTTTCTTCATTTAAGTGCAGTATAGGTGGAATTTACATCCCTTTAGGCTGGGAGACACATCCACAAAGCCCTACCTTCTTGTAGAGATGACTGAACTCTCGTGCTTTTTTGAAGAAAAAAAGAAAAGCCTTTAAATTAATGTCTGAAATTCTGCTAGTGAGTAGGCCTCATGCTTTACTCTCTTGGCTGAGCCAAGCACTACCTCTTTCCAAGCAGTGTGACAATCTGGGAAATGTTGATTATACCAGTGATCAGATAGGAGCAAGGCAGTGGGGTTAGCCAGGTAGATGTCAGAGTTTCTGGCTACAGTTTTCCCTGGGTTCAAATTAATCTGTAGAGTTGCAAGCTTGCTAACTCCTGGTGTCACTTATTTAGGGGGACTTGTGTGGGGGCTCTGGTGCCAAATGTGCCTGTCATTTGAGCACCCTTGTCATCTTTTTCCAATTTGTAACTTCTTTTTTTTTCTGTTAAAACTGCAAGTCTCCATTGGTCTTATTGGATTACAAATTACTGGATTTTGTTGGTTTATCAGGGCGAACGTTATTCAGAGACATTACACAGCATGTGTTAGCTTAGTAAAGAGCACTACAGTAGCTCTTTGGTAGCTGCTTTTTTTTAAAAAGATGATTAACAAGGCCCTCGTCTGCATTACTGCTTTGTCCACAAATTCAAGAATGCGTGAAAACAACCAGCGCCTGGGAGACAAAACAACTGCTGCCTGGGAGTTCAAATGTAGGCTAGCTATGAGTGCTTCACAGTGAAGGACAAGGCAGGTTCTCTGCCTGCAAATCCTTCCCTAAAACACTGAGGTTTAAAATGTTTTTTAAGTGGTGCTTTCTGATGCTGAATTTAAGTCTCTGTGCAGTAGTAGAAGCTCAACCTCATGTAACAGAGCAGTCAGAGCAATCCCAAATTGCACTGGTGATTTATAGTCACCTTTAGCCTAGAGCAAGGCACATGGCAAGCACAAAGCAATGCTTTGTCCTTTGGGCAGAGAGGGGGAAGACCTCCTTCCTGCAGGAAGTAGAGAGCCAGTGGGGTAAGGGCAGTTGGTGTTTTTCCACCTTGTGCTGAGCACCACTAACCTACACCATACTGACTTCTGTCAGCTCTGGTGCCTTGGAAAATGTGTGTGTGCCCAACCTCCTCAACTCAGCGATGCTTTGTTATGTGATCTGTGCTGGAAGGCAGATGTTGCACTCAGCAGACTTCTGGAGCAGGTTTGGAGCAGCGCTGCTTGGAAGGGCTTTGTCTGAGCGTATTGTGCCTCCTGAGCGTGCTAATGTAGCCCTGCTCCAGCAAGCCTGAGACTGGAAACCTCTAGCTGGGAACACATGGGGCAGATGTTGGCCTCCCAGTGGACTGGGAGCACTGCCATGGGAGCAGATGAGATAGACTGGGAATCTCTGCACAGAGGCAGCTGCTCACTGTCTGCTGAAAAATTATTTCCTACTTACAGGGAAGCTGAAAACCTGCTGATTGACAAGCCTTTGGGTTGCTTCCTTGTTCGGATCAGCCAGAGCCGACCAGGCTACACCCTGACGTACAGGTAATGAACCTCGCAGAGAAGAAAAGTTAAGGTCCTAAACTAAGCTGTGCATGGATGGAGGGGTGAGCCTTCTCCGCAGAAGAGTCCATTAAGTATGGCATTCAGCCTCTCCTGTTGTGGGTGACTCAGTTTGGAGTGGCAGACAAAAAACCTTGCAGTCTGTCTCTTGCTATGGTCTTTGTACAGCATCCCTCAAGGGGCTGGGCAAAGTTGTAATGTAGATAACAGGCATGGGAAGCAGTGTAGTCTGCTGGGGTTTGGATCCAGCTGCCTCTCACTGACTGGGGAAATTGCTGCTCCTCCTGCAACTGCTAGCACAGCGTGTGTCACTCCAGCATGGAGGATCTCCTGCATCTTTGCAATATTTGCTACTTTGGCTCCTGATCTCACCTGGGCCCTTAAGACAAGAGTGGAAAGCAATGACTGGTTCCTAGAGAGGTGTTGTGGCCCCATGCCATGACTGTTTCTCTCTGTCCACTTCCCCAGGGGCGAAGGCCGCTGCAGACACTACATGATCGAGATGCAGCCCAACACACGCTACGTGATCCTGGGGGAAGACCGTGCTCACACATCTCTCACCGAACTGGTTCAGTATCACCAGACTGTGGGCATCCAGCCCTTCATGGAGAAACTGACTGTTCCCTGCGGGCAGGTGAGTGCTGAGGATTCGCAGCAGGAAAAGGAGATAGGGCAAGGACTGTGCCCTGCGCTGAGAGAGTCACTGCAGCGCTCTCTCTAGTTTGGGTTCCTTCTGGGGGTGTTCTGTTCTAGCCAGGCAGCTTGGCCTCTTCTGCATGCACCAGGGAATGTGAGTAGCTGGGCAATGGGGAGTCCTGGGGTGGGGAGAGGCCCTGGCTGATTGGTGCTGCCCGCCTGCCCCATGTTTGCCAGCAGTGATCACAGCTGGGTTTGCTTGCGGGCTGTCCTCTTTGGGGTGCGTGGAGCATCTGCAAGCCACTGCTGAATCCACTCTCCTCTCCCTCAGAATAGCAGCGAGAGTTTGGATTATGAAGACCTGGAGTCCCCCACAGTGACCCCTGCCATGGCGGCAGAGGAGAGCCCCCACGAGGAGCAGACCTCTGCCAGTGCCTGTCCAGCTGACAGGAACACCCTGAAGGCGGGAGCAGCCACAGTTCTCAGGTCCATGTGGTTCAGGAGGACCAAGAATTTCCAAGAGCAACAGAGCCTGGACAAGAGCAAGACAAAGTCAAGCCTGGGCAAGGCGGGAAGCAGGCAGCGGGCCTTCCCTCGCCTTCACTCTTCCATACGTGTGGCAATGAAGGAAATCCAGCAGGTGAGCAGGGGCGGCTCCAGTCATCCAGTGCCACAGCCATACCACACACAGTCACTGTGGGGCATGTGGAGCTTATTTCCACAGGTAGTGCTCCTGCGTCGCAGGTTTTATTCAGTGGTCTTGGAATGGAGACTGTGTTCATTGAAAGTGCTGGGCTGGGGGAGAAACTGGCGGGAGGCTCACTAAGATGCCTAAAGAGAAATACATAACATGTGGGGCTGAGAAGTGTCCAGCAACCCATTTGGTGCTACCCTAATGCTGCCTCTCTGCTTCTCACTGCAGTTCTCTTCCGTTCCCTTGAGTGGCTCCTTGAAGGAACTCCAGCATTGAGGATGTACAGCCGAGTGACATGGTAAGAGGAGACCACACACAGGAGGGTTAGGGTTAGGGTTAGCTTCCCCAGGAAGTGGAGGTGCAATGGGGCTCCTTCCTGTCCTACATGCTCCACCTGGAGTAAATCTTGGCCATCAACTGCTTAGAAATACATGTAGACCAGGAAAAATGGAGGGCAGCTGCCTGCTTCCATTCCAGGGCTACAAAGAGACCAGTGGCAGAGGGAGGCTGGGAAAAATGGGAACAATCAGCATCAGGTTGGGTTCCCAGCACCTGTGGTACATGGTGTGCTTGCAGTACAATAACAGGGCTGCTGGAGGGAGCTCACAGTTTGTTAGAGACTGAAATTCAGGGGCCTGTGGCTGGAAGGAGTGCTATCAGAAAGCATATCTGCACAGTACAGTAGTCAGCAGCAATGGCTTAATGTTGTGGAGAGAGGCACACATCAGAAACAGGTGCTGGGCAGAGAGCCCTGGGGGGTAGCAGAGGCAATGAGCCAAAGGCAAGGCTGAGAACATAAGGAAAGGCAGCAGCCTACGAGGGCATCTGTGAGGACTTTAAGTAAGGGCTTTCAACACAGTCTCAGCAGCTAGAGAGACAGCTGGTTACCGGGGCTGTGATGTTCTGGATGGGTTATAGGGGTATATGGAGGGGGCCACACAGCTGGCTGTGCTCAATTTGTTGGTTGTCTGGAGCATTTAGTGGATGCACAGCTCCTTTGTACAGCCAGTGGGCTCAGTCCCTGCCCCGTTCAGTTGCTAAAGCCAGGATGAAGCAGTTGTGGGGCTGTTGTACACCTCTGAAGAAATCTGGGTTTGTAACACCTGGGCGTGAGAGGGATTGGACAAGCACAGTGTTGGCTGCAGACTTCATAGGGACAGCAGGGTTTCCTGCATGGCTCAGCTCCATGAATTCGTGTTGGAGCAAAGCTTTATAACTGGGGCCTGTCTTGTCTCCTTCTTGATGGCTGAGAAAGGCCTCTCCCTGAAGGGCTTGACTCACTTGCTTCATTCCTGCATGTGGCTATCAGTGTACCCAGAGGATGCTTCTTGTGCTGGAGGTTAGGCAGAAGTCAAGTGAAACCTGTGGGATCTGCACATGTGATTATAAGCATCCTGTATTGGTACTACTGAAAGAAACCCTCCTCTCATGTCCTGCACTGAGCTGTGTTTCATGACTTTTTGCAGGTCAGAGTGTCTCAGCCCCATCCTCTTCCAGTGCTGCTGGGCCTTGCATAACTGGGTGAACATATACAGACATACAGTAGTCTTCTTTCTTACCATTTTTTGCTGCACCCAGCTGGCCCTGTGTCCTTGGACTGGACTCCTGCAGAAATGAATGTTCTTCAGCACTCAGAGGGTCTCAGTGGCTGAGACTTCAGCATCTGGATCATCCTGGCAAAGAGGAGAGCATGGGAACAGTCGTGCTCTGCACAGATCCTCAGTACCTGACAACCTGCATGTCAATACTTAAACATGCCTTGAGACCCCTCACCTCGTGCTGTTAATAGTCACAAGCTGGATATTTCACAACAATGTGTTCCCTCAGAGCTGCCTGTACTGATTTCCTACCTGTTTCTCCTCAAGTCCTCTGTCTTTTGGTCCTTTGGACCTGCTGCTCTGGGTGCTAAGGAAAGCTGGGCTCAGGCTTGGGAGGTAAGGAATGAAACTTCTGTGTTCTTTTTGTTGAATGCAGGAGTACTTGAACAGACGCAGAGACATGGGATGAGGAGATCTTCCTGCCCCTGCAGGAATTTCCTGACCTTGCATCAGTTTTGTTCTGGCATGCTGATTCCCTTCCCTCAGCCAAAGCTCAAGTGAGGGCACCGTTGCTGAAACATTTGTCTGCAAGTCAGGGAATCACTGCAATTCCAGGCTGTAGAATATGCTTCTTTTCACTGAGGGGAGAGGGATTGGGAACATACAGGACCATGCTACTTGTTATGTATTTTCTACCTTTAATAAAAAATATGTTTTCAATTAAGTTCTTCCTATAAGAAATTCAGTGTTTTCTTTGTGCTTATTACTTGCAGTCAGTTTGGCCGTGGGCTGTAAAGAGAGGAGAGCACCTAACAGCTCATGTGAAGAGTATACACAGGATCTTCTCAGGACACGGGATCTACTCCAAAGTCCAGTAACTGCAGCAGGATTTGACCTCTGAGGAGCTTAAAACCAACCTGTCCATGCCTGCATAATTGCCAGCACCTGCCCACATGTTGATGGCCTCTGAGGTGTGTGGCTGCTTCCAGCTGCTGCCACCAAGCACCAGGGAGCTTGCCCCTCACGTGTGGCCAGTGCAGGGTCCTGCCAGAGGTTCCCATTTGCCTCCTCGGGGGCATTAAGAGAGGTGACAGCTGTGACACGGCCAGTTGAGTCCATGCCAGGTGGCACGTGTGCAGCCCCTCAGGCAGTGCTTTGCTCCAGCTTGCCTGCCGTGGCCTGGGCATTTCCAGCACAGGGCTGTCCTGCGCTGATGTACCCTTCAGCGATGCAGCTGCCAGCTCACCAGGGAATGGAGTCATGCACTGTTGGGTTTTATGTTGGGACAAGCAGTGTTGAAAAGCAAGCAGGTTGCTGCCTGGGTTTCCTGAAGGAACCTGGGAAAAAGGTACAGCCCCATGGAGCTGAGCCAGGGACACAGATCTTTGCTTTTTCCCTTGCGCTGTGCCACAGCGTGCTGTGGTTTCAGGAAGGGGCAGTGTGGTTTAGAGGCTTGGCCACGTTACCACTGCAGATTACTTCTGAACATGCAAAGTGTCCCAGTGGGAGAAACTAAAGTTGGTGGGCTGGTAATCCTGATGTACAACTGCCACCAGTAGTGCTCTACCTACCCCCAAACTCATCTCCCCATGTGTGCCCCTGCACGGAGCCACCTCAGTGCTTCCCCAGGCAGGAGGACACCCCTGTGCAGCCTTTCTGAGATGTGGGTGCTGCCTCATCCCTGTCACACAGGCTCAAGCTGCAGCCAAGGAAGCTTGTTATTGTGATACAGGGTGCTTGTGTCTCTGCCTTTAACCGTGGGGCTATTTCTCTTCCCTTCCAGCAGGCTGGAGCATTAGCACTGAGCTGCATCAAGTCGCAAGGGAATGTTGCTGGGAACCAGACAGGGAAATGGTGATTGTTCCAGCCTGATGTCCTGGCTCTTCCCAGCAATGCCTTGCAGCATTAACACACCTTTTCTCTTCCTCATGCTGGGTTTTGGCAGCTGTTTTGAGGCTGTTCAGGACAGAACTAGTCCAGGCAGTCCAAGGCTGCTGCTTGCAGAGTCTTCCTGACTAAGCCCAGGGGCATTTTCTGGGCAGCCTTGGCTCCTGTGCCAATGTTCTCCTTGGCTTCCTCCACCACTGGGCAGCTGCAAAGCCTTCCTCCTGGGCAGCACATAGCTCTGCCTCGTGGCCCAGACACTTCTAAGAACTCTCATGCACAGAAATGAGACGTGAGAAATGCATTTCAGGAACTGAGCTGCTGTGTAACTCTTTCCTAGTTACCATGCCACGGAGTGTGGTGTAAACCCAGGGCTAAGATCCAGCTGCAAAACACTGCTGGAGCGCAGCAGGGATAATGCTGAACCAAGGAGGGTGGCAAAGAGCTTTCCCACAGCAGCTGCCTCCAGTGCTTCGTGGGAGCAGCTGCAGGCACAGCTCACAAGCACTGCTGGGGAAAACGACAGCAGGGGAGGGCCAGGACTCTTCTCTGCTGCCCGTGTGTGGCATGTCTCCTGGAACGCTTCCCAAGACCACAGCAGATGGATTACAGACTCCTTTTTCCCCTGGTTTGGTTGGTGGGAAGTAGAATCACAACATGGGCAGCCAGGGACCTGACATGGACCTGAGCAGCATGCCTGGCTGGAGGGATGGGCTTCCTCCACCTGAGCTACTTCTGCTCTTTCTGTGACATGGGAGGAAATCAAGGGAAGAGAAAGGTGAGAAGCTGCTAGGCTGAGGAGGTTATGCAGCACTGGAGGCATTGGGGTGATTGCTACAAGGCTCTGGTTTGTGGGAGTGTTAGCATGCTCTTGATGCTGTGCCTATATGCAGCATCTAGCCAAGCTTGTGGGGGGCCGTCTGACAGGTGCTGGGCTGTCATGGGGAGAAATGTATGCCAGAAATGGGCAAAATCTGGGAATACAGCAGGTTGCTGAGATAGAAAATACAAACTTGAAATCTCTATCATCGTCCTTGCCTGCATTCTTCCAGCTTGTGGCCAAAGTTAGGCACTGGAGCTTCAGCTCTGGGTAAGGGGATGAGTTAGCCTGATGATTTCTTTCATCTACTCCAAGAAGAAGGTCTTCTCCATCAAAGAGAAGCAGCTGAGCTAGCAGCCCTATCTCATTTCCTACTGCAGCAGCTTCCCTTGCAGCACTTGAGAAGTTATATCTTACAAAAAGCAAAGAGCAAATTGTGTAAGGCAAAGCGGGAAGGCCGTCTGCATCACATCATGTTGTAGTTCAGCTGACGTGTGATGGGCTGCATGGGGTGTGCTCACATAAAAAAAAAAAAAAAACAAAAAAAAAAAACAACAAATACCAGGGCTGTGTCAGGCTGTGTGCACAGGAGCAGCCCCCAGATCCCCTGAGCACTGCATTTCATGCCCCACGGGATCTGAGGTGAGCTCAGAGAGGAAGGATGGGGATGGACACCCGGGTGTGGGGAGCCTGCAGAGCCTGCACCCAAGGAAGGCAGGGAGAGCAGGGAGAAGCTCTAGAAGTGCTGGAGGGACTCATGGCCTTGCAGGCTGTTGAGGAGTTTTATCTCATAATCTGAATAGAGGAGAGAAGGTGAATAGAGACAGGCTGGTGGAAGGGGGTTAATGTCCTCGATCTGAGTTAAATTCAGAAGTTCACTTGTGCAGGGGCTGCCTTGTACTCTGTGCAGCATCCAGACTATCAGGTCCTGACCTCAACAAAGGTCCTCACCGAGCTTGGGTTACCGTGAGGCTAACCCTCATCTGAACTGGAGAAAGGGCCTGAGTTATCCGAGCCAGCAGCTTGGATAATTTGTGGCCCTTGTCAGGACGCAGCACTGCAGAACTAATGGCAGAACTGGAGAATGCATGGCAACACCACCTGGTAAATCTCAGGTTGTTCTTGCTTCAGAAGGGAAGAAAGAGTGCCTGCTTGCATTAGTTACATTTTTTTCCATCTTTTCTGCCATATTGGAATCTTATTAAACACCTGGTAACTAAACAGGTGTTTGCTTACGTATTGCAGTGCAGTTGCTGTCTTTGCAATAAGCTATGCACAGCATTCAGTTTTCTTTCACGTCAGAGCCTGCCCTTTCCAACCCATAAATCATTCCCACAGCTCTTCTCCTGCACCTCCTCTGTGCCCTGTCAGACCCCCGCCTGCAGGCAGGACCCCGCAGCAGTTTCCCTGCATGGAGGCAGGATGAGCCTTGGTGCAGCGAGCTCCCCGTGGAGAAGTGCTTTAGTGTGCTCTGTGTGTCCTTCAGAGAGCCCCCCTAACCTGCCTCCCTCATTTTGCACAAGGGTTTTGTCTCCCATTATTTCCCCTGGTGCTTTACATCTGGATGGTCTTGGCTGCAAACATTTCGGCTCATCACCTCTAGGCTAACATCTGTCTTGGCCTGGCCAAACTGGGGCTCTGGCATCTCTTTGAGGCTTTTGGCCAGCAACTCACCAACAGGCTATAGCTAAAACAGAAGCTTTTCTCTCCTTCCATTCTCAGCCCTTCTCGCTCCCTCTTCTCCCAGCTCTGCCCTCTCCTTACCTCTCACGGGTCTGGCCATTGACTTTGAGGTAGCTCTGAGGTTTGGGAATGTGAACCTCTGACTCAAGAACCAGTACAGCTCGTAATCTGTTTTCACAAAACTGGCAGCCTTGGTGGTGTTTGCTTTCTTCCTGGGAAATGTTATGGTGTACGTTGACATGTGTCCTTTCTCAGATGTGTTTTAAAGACCCATTTGGCCCTCGGCCCAGACAAGGCTCTCCACGGTGCCCTTAGTCTCACGCTAGGTTATGTCAAGTGCCTGTGGAGTGTTGTAACAGCACCGCTGAGATATGTACGGTCCTCCCCACCTTCTAGTCAATGCTACTGTGCAGACCAGGTGCTTGTGAGGTGTGCCATTGCTTGGCAGCAACATTGAGGTCAGGCTAATTGGCCAGGGCATGGCTTCTCATGCATCACAAGGGCATAGAAACCACTGTCTGGGGCGCAGGGGTCAAACCTGACATCGATCCGGGCTGCAGCAGTGGCCACTGGGGTATGCCTGGAGCAGACTGAAGGGCAGTGGACGCTATAAAGCAATGCTTCCTCTGGTATGCAATACCCACATTAGTCATACTCTGAAAAAAGCACCCTTATCTCTACTCTTACCTCTTACCTCTCCTCTAGGGACCCCCAGGTCCTTTAATGCAGGGCTGCTCTCCAGCCTCTCACCCCTCAGTCTCTACATACAGCCAGGGTTGTCCTGTCCCAGGTGCAGAATCCAGCACTTGCTTTGTTAAATCTCATATTGCTGGGGACTGCCCAGCTCTCTCATTTGGCAAGATCTCTCTGCAAGACCTCTCTACTCTTGATGGAGTCAACGACACCTCCTAATTTAGTGCCGTCCCCAAGTTCCTCATGTTTATGACCTATAGTGGAGAAGTACTTAGATCTGTTTGGTTTTTAGCAGTCTGTATCGTTATTTAATCATTATGGCCTGGTTTCTGTGCTATATAACATCACAAATGTTTTCAGAACACCTCCCTCACTGCACATGATCTTACATATGTCTGTTTCTCTCCTCTGGTTGTCTTCTCTGTCTGCACAGCCCCTGGTCAGGCAGCACTGGTAACTTTCCTCTGTGTTAAGCACTGACCATTTCCCACTTGCTATCTGCTGCCTGTTACTAACCATGAGAACGAACATGCTGTGGAGAGGATGGATTAAAGACATCTGGTGGGTGACCTTGCTGAAAGTGTTTTGGGCATCCAGGTACAGTGCATCCATCTGCCCAGCCACAGCCTTGAACAGGATCCCTG